CCTACTATACGCGTAGATATTAAGGAAGTAGTACGCTACTACCCGAACTGCTAGGTCTCCTTGGGGGCACAGCCGAGCCTAGAGCGTGAAGCAGCCTAATATATGGTCACGAAAGGAGAGCGTCCTTTCGAACGTTAGGGGATCGATCTAGTCAACCCCTAACGGCAATAGGTGGATTATTACCGCGATCGACTACGCCACGGGGTGGCCAGTCGCGCGGGCGGTGCCAGACGCAACCGAGGAAGTCCTAGGGGAATTCCTGTACCGCGACATTTACGCACATTATAGAGCGTTCGCGGAACTAATCTCGGACAGATAAGGTCTTTGACTACACCGACAAGGACGCCATCGACCAGGTTGTCGCGGAGCTGGATAATAGTGAGTGCGTTGGTATTTTGCAAGCGGCTGGTGAGCCTAGTCTGTCTTGCCAGGTTGCACACAGGTCCAAGCAAACACTGCGTGTAGCTGCCACCAACCCTGTGCCTGAGGGCTTGGCTCCTGAGCGTGTTGAGGCCAATATGATCTTTGCTTCTGGTGGTGCTGTCATCTACCATGAGACCAACCCGGCCACTTTGCGGGTTATCTTCCCGAAGCGCTAGCCCAAGGCACTTACAAGGTGGCCCCTGCTCCGGAGACTATGTCAACAAAGGGACTTGAGGGTATCCAGGAGGCTTCGGATATCTTGAAGAAGGGCGTGTCGGCGAAGAAGTTGTTGACACTAGCGAACTAGATTGACAGTATTCCTCTATGCTTTCTTTATATTGATTAAAGTCTTCCACGGTGGATAGCACCAGTGTGGATTTGGATACCTGTCCTTTATATCTACATGCACTAGGAATGGACCTGCCATCTGCAAAATGTAAACACTAGGCTTCCCGGGGAAGAGCGCACCTGGGCAGTATTCAGTTGGGTAAAACCTCGCAAAGATTCCTTTTCTTCCAATTTCCTCATATCGCTTTGCCACAAACATTTCAACAAACTCTCTATATATCAACAATGTCGTTCACTTCCAACGCCTCCAATGCCCACCAAACCCATAGTCATCCAAACTCAATATGCCCGAAGCCTACCCTGAGTGGAGGGAACATGCAAGGAAGCTAGGGCTTGGCTTCATCTCACCACTCCACACAACGTGTCCTCTCTCCATTCGGCCTCGAAATGGCCAAATCCGAGTTTCTTTCTATGGGATCCTTATGACCAAAGTGAGAACACGTGAAGAAATTTCCTCTCATCGATGCTGCTGCAACAACAACAACAACAACAACAACAAGCAAAGTCTGTTGGATTATGGGCGACTGTTCAGAGCTCGAAGCATATCTTCGGCAGATTGGGAACCCCCACAACGCCGCCTTTTGCAGGGGCCAGGCTGCCTTCCTCCTCGTGAGGCCGTCTCAGCGAAGTGTTCAATCCGAGCCACTGCTGCTCGCATGCAACAATCACCTCCAAGACACGTCTCAAGCACGTGGCCCGCCAGCCCTCCTTGTTGGGCATGGTAATGGAATTCGACTGCGAAATGCTCGATTCCGAGTGGAGCGAAAAGCTACTCCGCGAGATGCCACCCGCTGCCGACTCTCTAGTAACACCCGGACGAACCGAAGACGAGCAAGTCATCAACGATGCTCTGCTGCAGTTCCTAATGCGGTCGTGGATATTATCCCGATTGAAAATTTCAATAGATATCAGCTCGCTCACCATTCCGCGAAATCAAGTTCGGAAAAAAGCTCAATGAAAGCGGGTACCGACGGCTAGTTGATGGTAAACGGCGAAATCTTCGCAATCATTGAGATCAAGCCACAGATCCGGGATCCAATAATGTGCTCGGAGATTTTATGACAAGAGACAGGCTAGACTGGTTGCATGGAGCAAGCGGGACGATAAGCAGGGGTGAAAGTCGCCCGTCCGTCGGTGAGTTTGATAGAATAACGCGCTCAAACGACATGATCTGACCACGCCTTTTAGACCTAAATCAATCAAATTATCGTTCCTGACGATTGAAGAATATGGCCCTTGGAATATCAGGCGATCATCTCACATGGGAGATCTGGCCAGGACCATCATGAGTGTTGCCGTCCAAGTGACACACGAACCCGCCCGTTACGAGCACACTAACAAAACTAGTGCTCTCACCAGCACTTGAAAATCAGAAAGCTGAGCGTCTGTAGTGCATGAACGTCAATATCCACCAGCAACGAGCTTCGGCCTCTTCGTGGCGCTGTTGACTAGTAACCCCGGGTGAAGCCAAAACAAGCTCAAATCCCGACAGTAAGTATGGAGTCCCCCAGGCGCGCTGACAAACAACGTACAGATTTTTGCTCGGGCGGCTCGGACTCGACATGCAATGGATGCGAAGAAATTCCCCCGACCCGCGTCTGGTTTTAAAGTGACCGGTGACTGATGGCCTTCATTGTGTCTGGACCAGGCAAAGCTAGGTTTATGCGTTGAGTCAATTGATCGCGAACAAGAGAAGTTGTCTCTTTTAAGGTCCTCCGCGGCGGTTCCAGGATTGAGTCTTAGGGCTACGATTCTCTTGGCATTGATTGTAATACCTTCGAACGTTATTTGCATTTCCCTGACAAGTGAAAGGCTACAGTAAAGTAGAAAAGAAAAGAAAAGAGCAGAATGAGAGAAAGATTGATATAGTTCCACTGCATTCCAATTTGTCCTGTGCCCTACCGTCTGCCCGGAGAAGCAGAGACCCAAGGCCCCATTTTGTTGCTCTGCCCTGGTTCCTGCTGGAGTGTATCTTGCCACATCTTGCTAGCTGGGGTCCTGGTCACGTATGGCTTTTCCCTGAGTTATACGTCCATTAAAGATACAAACATAGTCTCAACTCAGCAGCTTGTTTTCGTGATATTCTTACTGTTCGGACCTACGGCTATTTCTTCCTTGGTCAGCTCCCTGTTTGCATCGATTTTACGACCTTTGGCTATAATTGAGCCGTTGGGACACTTGCTGAAGGGCATGGCCCCTGTGGAAGAGCCTTTGGCAATGAACTACGGATCACAGACCCCAATCTCCGTCATTACGCACGGTCTATGTCGAGGGCCTCTGCTACTTACAGCTTTGTCTGTCATTTGCGCCTTAGGTCCATTGCCCAGCATCGTCAGCGGGGGAATCTTCAATCGCAAAAAGGATTGTCACACCCCAGCCACCTGACTGAGATCCCAATACAACGGCTCGGCCTTTCAGACTCCCACCACTGATGTGCAATTTGATGGAAATGGCTTGGTGCTAAGCAATATGAATCGAGGCGCCCCGGTTTTACCCTAGCAAGATGCTTATTACTCATTTGTTCCCTTAACCAACAGCGATCTAGAAGCTGACGCAACCGAGAATGTCAAATATGTTTCTGTCACGATTGCAACTGGAGCAAACCTGAATTGGCAGCGTGTCCTATTCAAACAGTCATGAAGTGTCCATGAGTCGAGAAATCAGTTGGAATTATACAAGCCCATCAGGCATCACCCGCGCGATGGAAGCTCCAAACAGACAGATGGAATCTTCGCCGATGAATCATCAAAATTTAGTGGCGCTGTACTATGAGCCATCTATTTCGAGCGACCAGTTCGAAGTTGTCTTTGATGCTCAGGGTATCATATCGTCTCATAAGCCCGCCACAGATTTGACGGCGCGATCAGCAACAGGCGCAGAATTTACCAGAATCTAGCTTGGCGCACTTCAACCGGGCGACTATGGGTTTTGGCAAAACAAATAATCTCCATCAAAACGTCTCGTTTTCGCACTATGACTGGTTCTGTATGTTTACCGCAATCACCTCCGACCACCTCCGTCCGAGTGCGCGGCCATCCTTTCACGCCGCATTTTTGATTCAGGCCGCGCATCGACATATCAGCAGGTCTTCAGCACTCACCTCACCCTTAACCGAGATATGTGTTTTCGACGGTATTCAGAATCGGCTGCTCCGGCCATTGAGGAGACTGTGATTACCAGCCTTTGGGGGCTGTTTCCTTCGCTTCCGTACGAAGGTCATCGCGCTAGTGCTTCTATCACTGGATGTTGTGATCAGTTTCATGGGGTGGGAAGTCTCCGGACTTAGACTGCCATGGCGTATCTGAGCTCTCGCGGTGGTACTTCCATGGGAACTGAGTAACTCTGTGCTCCGTTGACGGTGGCACTGTTAAGTAAAAGAAGATCCGGATATTTGAGAGATGTAGCATGAGCCAGTTATGTACAATACAGATTTTGGCTGGACCAAGCCTCTTCTCTTGGCGCCAAGGAGTTTGCAGCGCCAAATGTAACGCAGCCGTATGCGAGTCCAATCAGTGGTGCTCGCTTGATGGGCGAAGCGAAGCAATTTTAAAGTCTCACTGCGTAAAGCATTTCATTCAAGGCACAAGTTACTGTATATAATTAAGGCTACAATTTCAACAGACCCTCCTCCACAACCAATAACACCACTCCATAACGTATTCCGCAAGCGAGTGGGCCCAAAACCACATTGTAAATGCCATATGTGAATTACACATAATATCGCAACAACGACTGTCTATATCAGCATTTCCTTACAATCTATTTTATACGATACCTGCCCACTTTAGTGAGTCTTGGGAAATGCTATAAATCACTGACTGAAATATACACATACATACGTATATTTCTTGAGTACGTATATCTCTTGAGTTCAGCGACATAATTCCCAAGCGACTAAAAGAAGTGCTGCTTGATCAAATCGATCGGATCTCGGAACGATCTCAATTAAAGGGGAAAGGCATGTGCACACTCAGACTTACCCTCCTTGCAGGAAACGATCGAGTTGTGCGACATCAGCTGTAGAGTGGGGGCACATGCATATATTGAAACGTGCATACCGCTAGTATATGCATGATTCAGCTCTTCAATAATAATGGATATTGTGTAAACAGAGGAAACCTATAAATTGGAAGAAAATTAATGAATGAACTCACTCCAGATCAACCCTTTTGAATAACTTCAACGTCCACACGTCCTATTTTTCACCATCAAATCACTATTTCATCAATATGAAGAACTCCTTTGTGCTTAGTGTCTTGGCAGCCCTTTGCCGGTCCGCCTTCAGTCTCGAAGAGGGATCTTATACAATCGGATCTGCTAGTCTTGAAAGCAGTGTGGTCTTGACCCAGGGAGATGGGATCGGTGGGCCTCTGGAATTTCTTCCCAGGGAGAATGGTGGCTTCCATCAAACTTGGTACTTCACTCTAAAAGGCGGAAACCCTCGCGATTTCCTGATTGTCGACCCTGCTGGTAACTTCGTCAACTGTGGTGATGAAGCAGGTACTCTTTGCGTCTCCGGATCGGAGGAGCAGATTTACACCGCCGAGCTTGTTGGTGACAACCGTTATCAGCTCGTTGCAAAGACGTCTGGATACTTCTTGCGTGCCGTTGGCCAAGATTTGCAGCTTGCCGCATGGGATCAGAGTCCTAACGAGGAGTTTGTCTTGGAGTCGGCTGAATACTAGTAAGCCACGAAGATACAGCTATATGAAAACAACCAAACTGATGAAATTTAGGGAAAGAAAGATATACCCTGTTCACCCTGCCGATACGAGACCGGCCGTTCGAGGAGGGAAATGATGGACCACGCAGCCATAAACCTCGACGGTCCCTGGAAGCCTTTGGGGGTCACGAACTGAGAATGATGCATGGTTATGCATCCAAGTTAATGTTCCAAGACCTCACCAAATCCCTCCATCCTCTCCACTCAAGGATGGGGTCTAGACCATATGAACTGCATTTGCTTCGTTATCCATTAAAACCCACATTCATGCCATACGTAGATTCACCATAATATATACAACAAATAAGTGCAATATACAGTTGTAAATGATCTCAGTAAGAGTCCTGGGGCAAGCTCTCAGATACTGAACCCGTGGAAATAAAAGCCCAAGTTCTCTCATCGGTCGTCTTGTACGCGGGCATATCTGCAATAGTGCAGTCAGCACGATAAAAGACATCTATCACACTGGGCACCCTCGAAAGGAAGGACGTACTCTAACATAAGCCGGAACATAAAGACATCCATGTCATCATTCCGGAGTGTCTTAGCAGCCCACTACTGCCCTTCCTCGCCAATGGTTCGAGTAATCTCCTTGCCAGCAGGATCCTGCTCGAAGAAGCGCACAATTCAGCGACCTCGTTTGAATCCTTGTTGAGCGGCACGTAGTGAACCCATGGGATGAGGATGTTCTTGTGCCATTCTCGGAAAAAGGTCAGCTTGATCGGAACGCTCTTGCTACGCATAAAGGCATAAAATCTCCCGCTGTAAGCGTGGCCATCCATATCCAATAAGTAGCGATATTTCCACGCCTCACTTTGGTCACCTCGACCCACGACATGAAAAAGCATCCTCTGGTCAGAACAGTCCTGCCTCTCACACCCATAATTCAAAAAAAAAAAAATAGGCATTGAAGTATTTGCTGACCTCCGTTTGATTTGCCTTACGAACTTTCCATCCTTCATCGCCCCCGATGCTGCAAGTGCACTATGCCCTACGTTCCAAGATCGGATGTTCCCATTTGTGTTCTAGCGATGCAACCACTCTCTGTCGCTGCAGATTATGCCAGGATCCATCATGACTGAGCCCTCCGGTAGTGGCTCCTCGCCAGTAGATTTGCCCTTTCCTTGACTTCCATGGGATATCAGGTTCTGGTTCATAGCCTCCAACCTCCTCATAGTGCCATGGTGAAGGGACAGGGATCTCTTGGAACGACGATAGGTGTGACATCGAGAGCATAGGGGCTAGCTCATTCGTGAGCCTGAAGGCATTGGGCCGCTCAAAAATTCCAACGCTATACTATTGCAAATATCGCTAAAAGCGGATTGATTGAACACGAATCCAAAAGGCTCCATGGCGAAAGCAATTATCTGGCGCATTGCCATTGAGGTCCATAGCCGGGCTGTCGGGTGGGCACGAGAGTCGAGAATAAAGCCAGGTTTCTTGCTGTTTAAAATTGAGAAACCTGCTTGTAAAGACCTCTGGAATAGGCTCCGTAGAGATATTACTGTCGGGAAAATGGTTTACCAATGAATTGCCGTTCAAGCGAGCCTGAGCTGTACAGCCTTTTGTTACCAGTCTGTGTAACTCCTCGTGAGGAACAACGACCCGCGGCTCATCGTGAACGTTGAACTCGAGGTCCATATCGGGTAGCTTTGGGCAAATTTTTTGAACTGTTTCATTGCGGCATTCCCTTGGAAATCTCCCTGGCCATTGCCTAGGTGAATCGGCTCGCCATTGCGAATAGAGATACCCATCACCACGTTGTCGAAGCTTAGGTCCTCCTTAACACGGGAGCGGATTGTGCTCGGGGACAGCCCCCAGAAAGGTAGTAAAGAATGGTATATCGTGTCGTATTCATCCATCAACGTCGTGTTCCGCTGCGTCGCCAAGTCGTACCATTTATCGAAGTGGGGAGGCGGCGGCATGTTATATTGTCGACGGTATTTTGTGACTGCGTCTTCCAATGATTTGGACTGGCGCATCAAGGTTTCATTGAATCCTCGTGAGGCGTCGGACGCAAGTATGGAGATGGGATGATCGCACCAACGTCCATTGGCAATGCGGTTGAAGTTTGCCGGGAGTAGCGGGAAATGCCAAAGGAAGAAAATCACTGCTGCTACCAAAAAAGTCGTGGTCCATGTCCTCTTTGTCACGCGGGCATGGTAGTAGTATGATATCTCTTGAGCTGCCTTAAGAAGCTGGTATTTGTGCTGACCCCAGGGACCTGCCCGAAAAGTCTCGAGGATAGCCATAATGCCGGCTCGTGATGATGGAATAACAGTCGAGGTCGACAGACAGTAGACAGCATGATATTGCGCGCAGTCAACCTCGGAACTGCGGAGCGCCTAGGAAGAGGAAAGAGGGAATCGCGGGTACGGGCTTGCGATAGGCCAATGGGATGGGGCCAAATTTTGTTCAGCCCCGGACAAAGAAAGTCCCTCGATTGGCTTGACTGGCTGGATAGTTTAGGCTCGGGTGGTTTAGTTCGGACCACAATACGGGACGGTCACATTTCTTTTTTTTTTCTTTTCGGCTTTTATGATACGTCTTTCTTTTCGTACTCTACAGCATACAACACAAAGGACGGAGTACAAAAATAGTACTCATGCATTCAGAATGATTCTCTTCCAATACAAAGGGAATCAAGTACTTTGAACCCCTGATCGTAACGTGGGAGCCAAAGTACGTTGCTCCTGCCTGCAGGAGGCGCGGGTCGCCAATGACTGGAGAAGTTGTTGCTTATGAATTACCGACTTCCAGACATCGGGAAAGAACGAAAACATTTGCATGCGTACATACTGCCTATGACAAAAGGATCTAAACGTAACCACTGGGGAGGCGAAGTCACGAAGTCACGACCTCAAAATCCGCTTCACTACCTCCACCACGTCTTCAATCATCTTTGCCTTTGATTGGGTAGAATCCAACACGAGCACATCCGGCTCATCAGTGGGATCCTCCATTAGATCGAGCTGTGAGTCCAGCATCGAAGACTTCATATAGTGGTCTTCAGCCTCAGACCGTGCCACCACGCGATCCTTCAAATCCTGGCGGTTGTCCACAGACAAGAACAAAAAGGTCACCGTGACAGGGAAATCAAGCAGCTGTGACAATCGTCGGAGCTCGTCACGGTAGACAATGCGCAGTGCTGAGCAAGTCACAGCCAAGGCGGGGGACTCTGAGTGCTGCAAGCGGTCCATGACCGCACCGCGAATGTGAGCAAGCCAGTCCCAGCGGTCAGAGTCTTGCAGGGGCATGCTCTTAGCCATCTTCTGACGGGCGAGTCTGGAATGGAGATCATCTCCCTCAATAACAGGGACCTTCAGTTGCTGGTTCAAGGCCTGCGCGGCGGTGCTCTTTCCGCAACCACAAGGGCCGATCAAGAATAATACATCGCGATCCGCGGTGGGAAGTGACGATTTGCCCCAGCATTCCGTGCTAAAGTAGTTGATGAAGCATGAGGTGAAATCGGTGCCCAGACCCTTGGCGCGAGCGAGTGCGGGGGACGCCGCTTGAGCCTTCTTCGTGTCGTAGAGCAAGGCTCGGCTGGAGTTATCGTTGTCGTACTTCGACGAGAAGAACTCCAGCAGCTTTATAGGCGGGTTGACTTCGGCATCCTGGTTGGAATGTCGGAGACGCTGCAGCCAGCTTTGCTTAGGGAGTTGCTCAAATTCTAGTCCAGCCTCCTTAAGCTGGGGCAGCAGGTCTTGAGTCCAGTGGATTAGCGTCGGGTTCGTGACATTCATGACCTCGTCTGCGACAGGAGCTAGACTGAGGTCGATAATACTGCTAGCCATCACGTCGACTGGAGTCCAGCTAAGAACATCATCTAGTTGCGGCAAAGCCTTGATTGACTTAGCAGTCTGGAAGATCATTGGAATTGCCTCGGTAGCATTCCAGATACCGTGAGCGGTATCCGCGACGATCTGTCCCGCACGAAGGACTCGCGCGGTCATACCAGTGGCATGAGCAGCTCGGTTCACAATATTCTCCGTGACCAGCTTGGAATGGGCGTATCCCATGCCTTGTGCATAGGACAGCGACTCGGGAAGCGCCTCTGGGACCCAGTTTCCGGGGGTGCACGCGACAGTACTCACTGAGGAGCAGAAAGAAAAGGAAGCCGGGCGCGGACCTTCGGCACTCAAGCAAAGATCCAAAAGGCTGCGAGTAGCGGCAATACAAGGCCCCTCAAAGCTCTCTAGCGCCCAGTTGAAGTTAACTGACCAAGCGCAGTGAATCACGGCAGTGACTGACTTCTTGACCTGTGCATAAACTTCAGTGCCAAGGCCCAAGTCGGTAGAGTTGGACAGGTTTGAAGGCAGAGCAAAAATCTTGCGCTCCGCGGCTGGTGACAAGGTAAACAACACTGCGCGAGTGCGGAGACTTTGGGCCACACGTCTGCGGGCACCAACTGCGCTGTTAGCTCGCACGGGACAATAGATTTTCTTTACTCGGTCTGACTGGGCGAGTTGAGCAGCAATGTGAGCACCTAAGGATCCAGTAGCACCTGTGAGCACGATGTGATCGCCATCGTCCTCCCGCGCAACGGGGATATGTGCCTTGAAACAACTGCTGTGTTTCTCAATCAGACGCTGCATCCTCTCCTCCACTGGAGCCTGTTCCTTGGGAGCCTGGCCTGAGTAAAGGTCCACGATATGCTGTGCCATTGCCTGGATCGATGGGTTCTCGAAGACAAAGTTCGGCGACAACCTTTGACCACCGAGGTATAGGGTGCGTGCGATGGAAGTTCGGATGCGAATTGATTGTAAACTGTTGATGCCTAGGCTGAAAACATCGGTATCCTTCTCCAGAGTTGCTGGATCAACGGATGGTGCAATCTCGAGAAGAGTCTCCTTGAGGAATCGTAGAAGCTCAGCGCCATCTAGAACCTGGTAACCCTGCACGTCGGGTTCCTGGTAGATCTCGTTAATCTTCTCAGCAAAGTCCTTAGAAAATGCAGAGCGAATGACCGTTCCCTTGTCAGTCTTTCGATAAACAGAGTCCTTGGGGAGAATGTGGATCATATCGCGAGAGACATAGGCGTAAGCCGGCATCTCCACATTGCAGGCCTCGACATCCGGGAAAATATCGTCAATCAACTCATCGTCAGTATTGAAAGTGCATTTACCGGAGGGGATTATAAAGAGACCAATACGAGGCTTTGCACTTCCGAACGCGATGGCTTCACCGACGTTGGGGTTTTTGCGGGCGACTCCTTCAATGGTCAACGGGTTTGCCTTCTCGCCGTTCTCAAGAACCAACGTGTCATCCAATCTGGCGTAATACCGCCACGCGTTTGGGTTAGTGGGGTGCTTTTCGAACAGGTCCTTGGTTGCGTACGAGTTATCGGGGCAGTTGCTAGCAACCTTAGAGGGCCAGCCCTCCAAGACGCAAAGCTCGTAGATTCCAGGCATACCTGGCTGCTCGTCCCACCGGATGTAGGGCAGCAAGGATGGGCCAGGACGGACATAGTCCCAATCCAAATCCGAACGGTCGCGGAAGGAGGTCATGAGCTGGCCGGTCTCTGTCGTTCCGTAATGGGACACGAGACGGACACCATTCTGGACCAGTGCGTCTCCAATTGACTTGGGGCAAGATGATCCACCAAACATTACAAGCTCAAGACGAGCCATTTGTTGCGGGCCCTCTTCGATCTCTAAAAGTAGCTTCAGGGCGTATGGCACACCATATAGAACCTGAATCTCCTGATACTTCTTCAGGGTGCTCAGCAGAATGGGCGCGGTGAGCGGCAGACTGGAGTTGTACATGTAGATAAGCTTCTCGGAGTGGATTGCTCTGAAGAGGCAGCTAATTCCATGAGCATGGAAGAGGGGAAGGGTGATGAAGCCCTTAAGTCCGAAGTTGTTGGCGTAGTTCTTGAGAGCTCCGGAATGAGTCTGGTAGATGGGTTTCGGGTGGCCAGTAGAGCCGCTCGAGTGAATCACCCAGGTAATGTTATTGCTTTCGGTTGGACCGTGCAAGTTCGCCGCAGGAAGACAGGCGTTCGCTACTTCATGCGAGGCTGCATCTGCTGGGGCCACAGCAGAGATATGAATAACCCCAGTTCGCTTGGATACATTTTCTCCGACAGATTGGAGGGTTGAGTGTGTCACAAGGAAAGTGGCCTTGGTGGCCTCCAGCAGACTGACATAAGCATCTTCCGCGATTCGAGTTGACAGCAGGAGGACGGTATGCCCAAGCCGGGAGATGGCAAGCAATGAGATCAAGTATTCAAAATCTGACACACCCAGAAGACCGACGACCTGAACAGGGTCATTTGATGACAGTCGCTGGGGAATGACTTTGCAGTAGTAGACAGCCGCAGCTTGAACGAGAAGATCCAACTACTTTGATTAGTATACCCGCGTGCACAAGGAAGGGCGAATGAGGTCTGTACCTGATGAGGTGTATAATACACATAATCAGTGCCAGACGAGGGATAGCCAACTATAGGTTTATGTGCTGCCTCCTCTGAAGCTTTGGCACGCAGGAGGTCATTGACAGTATAGATGTCTTGCTTGGGGCTGGCAACCTGCCCAACCGACGTTGTCATTGAAGCATTCGCCGGAAGTGGTGAGATGGCAGGTGTGGAGAGGACCGATGCTGCCATATTCAGATACAGTGGGGCGCACTGAGTAGGAAATTTCCAAGTGGGAAGTCATGGAGATGATGTTCCTTTTTACGTCGGCCCATGTATCCAACTATCGGTCCGGGTTAGTCCAGCCACCACATGAGCAACAGTTCATGAGCCATGAGGCTGTCTCCACGTGAAGCAAAATCCGAGAAGGAAATATTGCATCATCGGCAGGCTTGTTCGATGTTTGCGGGGGTTCTTTTCCGACATGTTTTCCGACAGAAGGGATTTCCGAAGTGGGAAAAGCTGTGGGTCTCGGGCGCAAAGGGGCGGATCCACTGTGGGCCCAACTCGGTGCACCCACCAACTGGTTCGATGCTGGGTATTTTCACTTTCACTGCGAGTCCACGGGTAGGTGCTGACCTATCGCAAACATCCCAATACTTGTATATTTTGGTCAAATATACCAATTTTGTATTCGAAATAGATCCTCTTCATTCTATTCCAAGTATTCAAAGTGCATATAGTGCATCAAAAATCATCATATACCGCGGAAGATCATAATATTTCTCGCCGAGCGTCTTATAAATTCAAGATGCAGGGTTTCAACGAGATTATTGGAATATATAATATATACAGTAAATTACTAAGGCGCAGAGATGGAGAAGAAGAAAGATTGATTCTCTATTGACAAACAGAAGCTAGCTAGTATAGCTAGCTGGAAACGGTGGAAGCCTGACAAACCAGGTATCGGCAGACTGCCTCGACATAATTCGTAGAATTTTAAATGTGTCTATAGTGAGCTTTAAACGGTGAACTTAATCTTGTTGCTTGGGCCCGCTGCGATTGCAGCCTTGCGCACTGCCTCCTGTCCCACCTCCTCGAAAATATCATAGCCCCAGTTCGCCGGAAAGTTGAAGCGTTTGTGACGCTCAAGACCGGTCAACTTATCATACGCGCCATCGGGAAGAATTTTTAACTGGAGGTTGGCGGCAATGCGAGACGGTGTCACACTCTTTGACAGCACAACAGTGCCACGCTGCACGCCCCAGCTAGCGAGAAGAGGGCCAGGGTCCATGCTGACCTCCTTCGCAACCTCCACGACAACAGGGTCGTCCACAGTACGAGGCTCTCCAGTCTGGTTATTGCCAAGAGGAGAGTAGGCTTCGACGATGATACCCTTGCTGTGGCAGAACTCGACCAGCTCGGGCTGCTGCAGGTATGGATGGGCTTCGATCTGGTTGGCAGCAGGCACAACGTCGACCTTGCTCAAGAGCTCCTCCAGGCGGCGAATGTTGAAGTTGGAGACACCGATCGCCTTTACCTTTCCTGTGGCAAGAAGCTTCTCCATCTCTTTGTAGGTGGTAATATAGTCAACGTCTGCTAGTTCGAAAACACCGCTCTCGTTCAGGGGGAACCACTTGTCGCCGCCCTGGAAGGCACTGCCTATATGTTAGTAGGCCATTTTAAATCACTCTTGGACGACATGAGTCGGGAGATAGCTTACCAAGGCCAGTGCATCAGGTACAAGTCAAGGTAATCAACCTCAAGGTCCTTCAGGGTCTTGTTCAAGGCCGGCAGGACATTCTCAGGCGCGTGCTTTGTGTTCCACAGCTTGCCAGTAATGAAGATCTCCTCGCGAGGCACGCCGGACTTCTTGATACCAGCGCCAACCTCGGTCTCATTGCGGTAGATGGCGGCGCAGTCAATGTGACGGTATCCCTGCTTGAGCGCAACTTCTACCACGTTCTCAACCTCAAGGGGCTTAGCCTGCCAGGTGCCAAACCCAACAGCTGGGATCCTGGCACCGGTGTTCAATGTGAAATGTGTCTGGATGGCCATGGTGAATGCTAGGAGAATGAAGCGAAGAGGGAGAAAGGAAAAAGAACGTCACTAGCAATCTAAATAGGTCACTTGGGAGCTTATAGCATAACTTGCCTCAATTCGTCTCAAGGAAACCATTGAAAATTGAAATTAAAACCCATATTCGAGGCACATTGCACTTAGGTACTGTCAGAGGAAGAGGGGCGGACGCGCGGTCGGATAAGGGCGGAAAATGAATCCAAGAAGAATGAAAAGAAAGTAAGCTCCTTGGCCTCGTTCAAGCGATTTGGGAATGTGACCACGGATAGCTGCCGAGGTTATGGAGAAAACCCCGGGTCGTATCTCTCAATTCCCCGCATTTCTGCGTTGGCCCATACTCTGGGCAAATAATGAAATTGATGAGAATGGGTCTGTTATGGATGAGCTCCGCAACGCTTTCGACGTACTTTCCTTCCCATATGTGGTCCTTTGACTCCACATGATTTCAGTTCCATGGGTAACGAGCACAGACAATGGCTAAAGCCCTAGGCTATAGCAACAATGTCACGTTGCTACCTATTGCTCCAGTTTATATTTTTGGCTTCATCACTGCCCTGGTGAATCCCATGGTTGCAAGTACTGCCCAACGAGTCGTCCTGATTCCTAACCTATAGGTGAGGATATAATTGCAACGCAACGGATATCTCTATGTCCGGCAATTATCTAGTATATATGGCTTCTACTTCTTCCCCACTACATATTCACCCCGACATCGTCCAGGAGGCGTCACCTTGTCCGCAATTGCTACTGGAGTAACCGTACTGTCATCTCCAGGGCTCCATTGGCTGATTTTGAAAGTGAAAAATTGGAGGACGAAGATGGCCAGAGACATAAGACGTGTATTTGGTATATACGTGTGGGGTATCGTGAATTGATAATTAGTTCAGCTTACTCGTCAGTGTCCCTATATATAGTCAAGTACCGGAAGAGTGGATCTGCAGGTGCCTCTTGAACGAAAACGGCAGGTCAAACGGTCACCTTTTACCCTAAATGAGCTAGACCGGTCAGCAAGGTCACAAGCAGCAAAGTATATATCACTCACAAATAGGCAGGCTATCATACTGTGGCCAGAAATCAAGGGCTAGACCCTCGTTTGTAGCAAGGTTGTCCAGCAAAAATTCAGTATGCGGATCAAGTAAAGAGGGCGGAGCATTATTGTCGAGCCCAGCCATATTGCCTGCTCCTTCTTCGCCTGGTCTTGTGAAAATCGCTTGCGTGGCCATTCTATTCTCCTCCATTTGTCCAAGACCAAGTACTTCGCGATGATATGCGGTGGAAGGGGAAAATACACCGGCCGTCATGCTCTGTTGGTTGGTCCCATTATCGGCATTGATATGGGGATCGCGTAAAGCTGAAGGTTGCGACCTTGTCAGCGCTCGACGCAAACCCTGGAGTATAACGCTGTATCTCCACGGTGGTGCATTCCGAGCAGTGGCATCGGCAAGGTGGGCCTGCGCTCTCTCGTATAATCTGTAGAGCGTGGATTCGTCCAACGGCGATGAGGCGAAGAGGACATTCATGCTCTGGTCAAAGCGAATATTGACAGGCGAGATCCGGCCTCGTTGGACTTGGATGAGGTAGAGGTAAATGATGGATAATGCGTTGAAAGCAATATATTGAGAGTACCAAAACGATGAAAAGAGCTGCTTCTCCTGAGCAAAGGTGAGAATCAACTCAATCGCGTCTCGTGCTGCCGTCAAACATGTGCTGAGATAGTATTGGAAACTTGCCTCGCATTCGGGCCAGATATGTGCATAGTTCCGGAGCAGCAGAGGCCGGGTGATAAATGCCAAAGCGTGATACCGCGCCAGCTGTAAAACCGTGAGTTGGCGTCGCATCCCAGGCATCAAGCTGTCTGGATGGACAACTCCCGACAGGAATACCGGCAACTCGGCATGCCACTCAGCGATCCTCCCGCACAAGTCTCGAATGATATCAATCTGCTCTTTGGTTGAAACGCCCGTGACCATATATGGTTCTTTGGCAGCCTGTGTAAGAATGCGAGCCAGCATGGTATGAAACACAGGGGCGTCCATTAGACAATCCCGGTTGGAGATTCTCTTTTCGTGCCGGGTCAGATCTTGATCATTAATGCGAGTGGGAAGCTCTTCGTCTAAATCCTCATCTTGCCAAAGGCGGGGCCGACCTAAAATTACGCTCAGGTATTTGTCCAGAGTGTATGAGCACCAGAGGAGGCGACGCCGGCATTCCTTTCGTATCAAGTCCTCTTCTTCAACCCCAAGCCGTGGCCGCTTATTGTGGAAACCCAATGCCATCATCAACTGAACTGTCGTCCCGAATGCGAACCATGCTTTGTGTGCCCGCGACGAGCTTAGAAGATACAGCACCATCAGAAAGCGAGCTTGAACAGAGTCCAGACCTGGCGCCCCCGTCTCTTGCGACAGCAGGGAATCTGCCTTTGCATAATACAGCTCGCTTATTTGCCAGCCTGATTCGTCAGCATCTGTCATGTGCCCCTCTGAGTCTGGCTGAAACATTGTTGCAGTACAAAATATCAGGAGCAGAATTGCCAGAGAAGCAGTGTCTAGTGAGCTTTCTCGTGCAAATGTACCGCCTTCAAATAGATCATGGATCAGCACCTCGACCGTCGGCCGGTGAAGGACCCGATAAGTCGGTGCTGCAAATTCGAAATATCGCCGGACCAAAATGTCAGCGGTTCGCCGATCAGGCCATTTGAATTCGGCTAGGCCAATATTGGGGACTATCCGGTCGCCATGGGAGAAGATCGACACAGTTGATGCTGTACCTTCACTGTGTTGCTCAACCAATAGCTTTGAGGGCGTTGCAGGCAGGTCTTGAACTACCCGTCCAAGAAATGAATGCGCCGAAGTTGGGCCCAAGTATTGAGAGGCAATATTAGTCGATTCTAGTTGATTTGGCGGGTCGACAGGGGTCACTGGCACAATTTGCTCAAAGGTAGGCGCTGGAGATCTGTCAAGAGTTCGGTATTGATTGCTGCCTCCACTCGAGCTTGTTGGCCGTTCCCTCCGGTGGCCGAGAGAAATTGGACTCACTGCGACGCCTCTTGTGTAGGCTGCGTCGTACGTGCAAGACAGCTGCCGTTGTTCACAAGGGTCACAAGGCAATGTACCTGTACACGCCTTTTTCTTCACTTTACAGGCATCACAGGCGCGCGTCACTTTGCGCAGTTTACGTGCATCGCTAGCCATTTCCGACTACCGTAAGTGGAGCGGAAAATTCAATGCAGCCAACCCGTTTTCAAGCTTAGGTACATCGGGCTTCGTACAGTTTGTCCGAAAAGATTTTCCGCTTTTCCGCTTTTCCGCCACACGTGACACAGCCTAGGGTCAGAAAATATCGACTTGCTGTTATCCGGAGGTCAGCACAAAGTATTGTCGGAAGGAAGACCGCATAACGTGCACATATATAATGGCGGATAAGCGGAGAAGAAAGCAGGAAGGAGCGGGTAACTGATTTGAAATCTCCGGCACGTCCAACTTCCCCAAAGACGGGATTGATCTTCGACCGCCACTGAACTCTCGTTCATCATTCGCCTAATCAAAGAGGACCCGGATGGGGCTACTTAGCTTGGTTGCGGGGGAGGATACCGCGGGGGTGGGGCTCGTGGCTCCAAGAGAACTTGACATCCCCTGACACGTGTAGCAAATATGACCGCCATTAAGGAATAGTTAGGAGGACAAAGCAAGAATCTACGGGTCTTTCCTGCGAGCCTAATTTGTTTTTCCGCATCTGGGGACGTATATATGTGCCTCGCTGCTAGGTTAGATAGATAGTTTGTATGAACCGAATATTTTGCCCCCTTACTTCGCACCAAAGAGTGTGTGATCGCAACTATGCCCAAATCTCAGCTTGGTCCGGTCTCTCAGGCCGACAAAGACAATGAAAAATACTTCGGGTCTGAAGAGGTGGAAAACTACTCCAACATTATCACCATCGACAACATCCAAGTATTGGGCCTGACTCCTGAAGATGCCGAATTCTACAACAGTTTCTCAGTCGAAAAGAGGAAAACTGTTTTATGGAAGGTATGGGCCCCGTAATACTGCACTGCAAAGAATCATTCACCTCGGTAACTAACCTTACCTAACTCTACAGGTTGACATCCGACTAGTCCCCATGTTGGCGATTTTGTACCTCGTGTCTCATTTGGATAGGGCAAATATCGGGAATGCAAAGATTGCAGGCCTCGTTGAGGACCTAGGCATGAGTGGGATTCAGTATAACATCGCACTTAGCCTGTTCTTCATCCCATACGTTCTTCTTGGTGGGTTTCCTTATCACGGTGATCCTTAGCCCTATCCTTGCTGACCCATGATAAGAGGTACCGAGTAATATTCTGCTGAAGAAGTTTGCCCGACCATCTGTTTACCTAGGCTTTCTGGTAGTCAGCTGGGGGATCATCGTGGTCTTAACTGGTATCGTGAAGAACTTCGGTGGATTGGTGGCTGTTCGTATCTTGCTGGGTATCTTCGAGTATGTCCATACTCATCCATTGCCCATGGGGAAGACATACTTCAAATGCTAATCTGGAAAACAGAGCAGGGTTCTTTCCAGGCGCAATCTACCTATGTTCGCATTGGTATATGCCTAAGAACCTAGCTACCCGGATTGCTTTCTTTTACTGCGCAAGTGCATTGTCCGGTGCATTTTCCGGTCTGCTTGCCGCCGGAATTGCAAAGATGGATGGTGTTGGTGGCTATGAAGGCTGGTGCTGGATCTTTATACTCGAGGGTCTGCTCACCGTTTTGCTCGGGGCTCTTTGCTTCTTTCTTCTTATCGACTCCCCCAAGCTATCCACCAAGTGGCTGGACCCGGACGAGATTCGCTACCTGGAGCTACAACACTTTATCAAGGACGGTGGCCGGTTCAAGGAAGAGCAGAAACGGGCCTCATGGAAAGATATGTGTGCCGTGATGCTAAACTGGAGGATGTACTTGCTTGCCTATATCCTGCTTTGCCAGTCGGCTTGTTCTTATGGTTCGTCACTCAATCCTAACCGAGTCAAGTCTGATTGTGACTTATTCCCCTCGCAGGAACCAAATTCACCCTCCCTACTATCACGAAAGGAATGGGATTCGAAGACACCAATGCGCAGCTCATGACGGTTCCTCCATATGTTGCTGGTCCTATCTCTGCGATCTTTTTCTCAACGTTGTCTGATCGATTTTACTGGCGCATGCCGTTTGTGGTAGCTCCACTAACGCTCATCGTGATTGGCTATTCGATAATCATGGGCCTCAAGGGCAAGCTAGTAGGCGCCAACATCGGGCCGGGTTTCTTCGCCATTATCTTGACATGTATGGGCATATATCCTACCCACCCGGCAACAACTTCGTGGACTATGAATAACTTGGCTCCATCGAATCGCCGTGCGATCGGGAGCGCATTCAACATATGTATCGGCAACATTGGCGGTATTATCGGCAGCTATATGTATCTCGATCATGAAGACCCGACTTACCCCACGGGCTTTGGCTTATCTTTGGCATTTGGAGGATCTGCTCTTATGGCAGCTTTGGTCCTCGAACTGTCCTTCTTTTGGGGAAACAGGAGCAAGGGCAAACTCAGCGAGGACGAAATCCGTGAGAATCACACCGACGAGGAGCTACTGGAGATGGGAGACAAGTCGCCGCTGTTCAAGTATACACTGTGAAGCTGTGAAGCAACTTTACTATCTATGACATAGCGCGGAATCAATCAATAGTCACAAGACCATAATTAACTACAAGCACTGGCAAAACTCTACAGGGGTACTCTTGTTTGAAACCTTTTAGTCTAGCATCTTACTATATGATACTTCATCTTCTCCGTCAATAGTTAGCTGTTTCTCAACGGAGTATAACCAGGAGAAGGAAATTTACGTACGTAATTCAACTAGCAATACTCAGGTTTGTATAGAATAAGAAACTCAGACAGATTAATAGCTAAGACTTTGCATCCGACTAATCTTCTGCGCCGCAATATGACTTTGTCGGAAAGGGTTTAACCTCGATAGTAAACCAATCAGCGTGAATAACGAGGTCTTCCAAATTTTGAGGATGTTAGTCTAGTGTTGAAGTTTATCGTTACATATTTACTGTTATTGTTCCTTCATTTAGCCGTGCCCTATCAATCTGGCTGTGAATATGGTTTGAGTAATATTCGACGCCACCAAATATTGTGGCGCCATCCCCACACAATCATGTTTGGTTTCTGGTAGGACTTGGGTCTCTACGGGAATATATACGGAGGCTAGCTGCAGATATCTGGCGACAGCAAGCCTTCGGTTGTCGAGCAAAATTGTGGACCATAGCTTGAACGTACGTAACTCGTCGGTTACTCCAATTTGAGACAAGATATCAAAATTTTTGATAGCACGAACGATATTGCTTCCTATTTGACTGCCTGCGAAGATTATCTCAAATTGTTCGAGGGACTTGCTTTATATTATAAGAAAGTGGAAAGGGAAAACAAAAAGATGAAGGCCCGAAGCGCGATTCGAACACGCGGCCTCTCCGAATTTGAGATCTGAACCCAAACGGAGAATCATACCACTAGACCATCCGGGCGATAGATAAGATAGTTCATATCATCTGAACTTATCTCTTTCTTTCACGGCTCTATTTAATTTAAGATCGTACTCACTTCGAAGGTTGGAAATATCGATTATTAGAGAAAACCCCCGCCTTTGTTCTGCCGCCGCTATAGTAATCACCAGGCAAGGCGGCTTATCGATTGACTTCTCTTCACATGATAGCTTAGTCTGGACACGTAAGTTTTTCCCGAGGTCCTACTCAACATACTCTAAATGCAGTAGTTCGTACTTTCTAATGTACCTACCTCCAGGGCCTACCTAGGTACCTAGTTAGGTATCCATGGATGTATTAAGATGGCCCTTATCGTCCTATCAAAAAAGGCCTGGCATCATCATTGTGACCATTCATCCTGGCAAACCGGCTGCAACTAATTGCGCCACAATAGAGCCTGCTACTTGGCCACCTAATCAGCATTACCATTCTATGATAGATGCGATGCTCCTGGGGTAACTTTGGTAATCAGGCTTTGGAGGACTACGGTGCTAGGGATATTGAGTGAATCTACTCGGAGATACTAGTTGCTCCTAGGAATACTTTTTCTACAATCTCCTAATCAGGTTTTGGAGGACTACCGGTGCTAGGGAAATTGGATGAGTCTACTCGGAGATTTGCGATACGTCCTAGGACAGGGAGTAGTGGAGAAATATCGGTAGGATATGGCGGCAGAGCACCGCTTCTCTCGTCAATAATTGCATGTATCAAAAGGCTTCTATAAGCAATCGTCATTCTTTTACGCTAAATAGATTACGAAAAGGACACAAATCACGAGTAAGACTTCAATAACTCCTAGGAGCCCGCCACACGCTCATAAGAGCCCAGTAGAGTAGTTCTAGATGTGTGTAAGCTATGTTGTTCAGGCCAATAATTCGCTCATAATTACCCAGGTTTCTAGGAACCCGAACCATCCACCAAGCCCTAAGATAAGTGATGTCACTCCAGACAGTATATATATTAGAATCCTCCTTCAAACATTATCATCCTCGTTCATAGGTCATCAACAATCTACACCAAGAACAGACACTATCCTTATATACTAGAATGAGTCCACCCTTGGGTTTTCCGGTTGAGAGGCGTCAGCTAATCTTGCTCTAGTTTTTTTGCCCATAATGGCCGAACCAATAGGTACCGGAACCTCCACTACACAGGCCGCAAAAGCTGCGTAGCGTTATTGCCCTTTTGGAAGACATGAAAGCTACTAAGCGTACAAATGAGGCTTTAAAAGAGCTTTGTCGACAATTATTTTCCGCTGAAAACGCACTAGAGAATTTTGCATCAGCATCTGACCAGGGCGGTTCTTGCAAGCTTAATCTTGAAGTCCAGCATCATATTGGTATGGCAATTTAGGGTGTCCAAGATGCCTGTGCAAGATTCCAGAATGCCTACAGGGAGTGGACCACTCCCTGCACGAATTGGATGGCGACGACCTTGATAGATTCGAAGACATAGAGTTGCGACTCTTGAGTGAACGGCTACAACTGTTAGAAAAAACCATAGGCATGACTTTGGAAGTCTCCATATTGCATGTTACAGGATGGATCTAAATCAGTTTCACCACTTGCACACAGAGATTCTTTCTCAAACCCACTGAGCGTGACCTGAGCAGCCTGATCCACTCACTGTGCACGACCTGAGCAAAGCGCAGGAGCAGCTAAGTCAGCAGCTCACCTTGATAAATTGCACCACGCTAGCCCCATTTAAATGTAGTTGTTCACCAGAACTCTTGACCGTTGTCCCCACAACGAAAGGCTGGCGTCATCAATTTAGCGGTCGATCCTGGTTGTTTCGCCTCTAGCTGGGAGGCACATTAATAGTGGGGCCATATTTATTGGTTTTACTATTCTGCGGCTATGCCACTATTCAACATGCAGCCTTTCAGAGGCTAAGTGCAGCGAATGTGCCGGCCCTAGAGATCACTGCGCCCTATTCCACAAATGACAAAACCACCATGTCAACCGATTTTCAGGCTACACTAGCCCGACTGACCCATTGCGACAATGGGTCGAATCCACTTCCGTGAAATCGGTGAAGCTTGTATATAACTGGAACTGCGCCGATATTTCATCATGCGAACGTGATTCAGCGCCTCTTGTAAGCTAACGATCCGCTGTCTGATGAAGGGGTGTCGCGCTACAGATTCTTGATATCCACAAGTGATCGTATCTCGAAATAAATGTGCCAGACTGGTGACTGGGCGGCCACGGACGGTGAAGCCACATCACTGTACTATTGCTATGGTACAACCAGCAACCGTATCATGTGAATTCTCGCTCGCTTGCCCCCGATGGGTGGAAATTCTCTGTTCTCCAAGTCATGCTAGGCGTTAGCCTCCTTGTCGGTCTCCTCGTAATGACAACCGCATCCTGGGTTTCTTAATAAGATGTTTGGACGTTCAGTTATTTGAGTGTTTGAGCTTCTACTTCTTACGTGCCCGTTTGACATGTTTGGTCCGCCCTATGGCTGGGTCCCGATGTCTAGATCTCTCATCTTTAGATAGCTCTCTTTTCCTCTTCTTCTTGGTTGAGAGTCTTCCTTGCCAGTGCGTAGGCTTCAGCTATCAGGCTGAAGAGTGCCGAATGAGTGCTTTGTCTTTAAAAGAGGATATATATGTCTCTGCTGTCAAATAGAGCTAATGCTCTCTCTCGTTAGCTATATTATACAATTACTTGACTCAGGCTATCACAGGTCTTCGCTATCTGATGGTCTGCACCTAATCCTTGTCGAGAATGACCCGTTGCAGCGCAGTGACTTCGCGCGCAACGTTGGAATGTGCATTTTCCATGGTGTCTAGTCTCTCGGTGAGGGTTTCGATCTTGCCCTGTAGGTCTTGTATGATCTTTTTGACTTGGCTCTTAGTGCGGGAATCTTCCCGCGCTTTTGTGGCCTTTTCTCTCTTCTCCTCCTCCCACTTGGCGCTATTGAACCGATATGTGGCTTGCTGCATAAAGAAGCTATGCAAGCCCCACGCGATCGCAGCTACTCCGTAGACATGTGTACTCCAGTGCGGGGATGCTGCCGAACAGGTTTCGTCACGTTTGGTTAACACTAAAGTTTCATTATTACTATATGAAGGTGTTTTCCCGGCTTGGGGCCTATAACAACCCGCAAACGCCGATGGGCAATCGAAAAAGGATGGGAACAGGTACTGGAAAAGCAACTATGTACACTGAGCGTCTAGCCGTACATCGAGGCGTCTTGCTAAGACACGTAGGATGTAGGTGTGACTTGCAAGGAGTCCAAATTGAACAGCGACGAGCAAAATTCTAAGAGCAAGCTTCCAAGCTACAGGAAGCGAGCGAGAGATTACTCCAATGATGGAGGTGTAGGACCAAGAGGCGAGGACGGAAAAAGTTGCTATACCGATCAAGATCACAACAAAAGCAACCTGTGTGGCGAAAAGAGCAAATTGGTTTGGAGAAGACGACATTTTGATGTAGTTATTATGATTAGAGGACTTGATCAAAGTAGGACTAAAGGATTAAGTGAATGTTTCTGGGAGTCTTCTGCGGGAAGGAAGCCTTGGAGTGGAACTAGGCAAGAGCCAAAGAAGCAGACTCCAGCAGCCGGCCCTCGACAACAAATCCTCAGGACATGGACAGGTAATCTCCTCAAGAATATTTTCACTTGGTAGACTTGGTAAGTACCAGAGGCCCTGACCTTGAAAATGTTGAGAAAGTGGACGCATAACCTTCCTGTATTGCTGGTCCTTGAGGTAGGAAAGGTTTCTTGACAGCAATGCCCCCAACAACCGAGGCGACGCATTCTCAAAAGAGACCCGTGGACTGTCTGTACGGTCATTTGGATCAAGTGTCACGCCCCGATTTTCACAACTATGGATTTTCCATCGAGGGTCATCTGGCGTCAAACCAGGGCCAAGATTAATCCACGTTGTAAGGACCAGGGCCAAATGAGAGCCATATTCACAGACTTCAATGCGGGAATCTGTATTGCATTGGTTACAAGTATAAGTGGAACAGGGATATTCCTCTCCATCGAGATAGGCGAACACCACGGTGTTCAGTAGTTCGGCTTTCTGCAGATACCCAACGTGCGCGCAAATAAACATAACCTGCGGAGGTTTCCCGGCAGATTCGTTACCATTTCGATATAGCAGTAGTTCCGATCTGCTACCGTGAACAAACATCACATTCTGCATTCTTAAACAAAGTCCCGGCGTCTCTGAACAGATCTGTGCGTCGGTCGAAAAGAGAGAGGTGATTTCAGGGCACGATGATTCTTCGGGGTAAATTCGGACTTGGGTATAAGATAACGCTTCAGTGCTGATTCCAGCCTGGTCTCCTAGATAGAACCTCCGCATGGCAAGCTGAAGATGTAGAAAATAGAATCTGCGGTACACATAGAACCAGTAGAGTTGTCCGCTCAATTCTAATCCACCGGGGCTCGTTCTCCAAGGTGGGAGGCACCGGAGAGGACAACTGTCGTTGGTCATTGGACCAGATAGACCAAAGCATTCCGAGCCGTCATACTTGTGAAGGATAAAGCAAACATGGCAGATGAAATATTTCTGTAATCTCGTTCCAGTCGGCGCAAAACAGGCAATTTCATCTTTCCTGACGGCCGGGCGGAATTATATCGACAGTTGAATATGGCGAAGAGTCGGCGACTGCAGAGTGATATGCAAATCCAATCATCCAGAGGGAGGAAGTCGGTTATTGATAATAATAGCTCGACCGGGAGACCGGCTAGCGTATTCATATTGGGGATCTCTAGCGCATTCAGATTGAGAGTCGCAGACGGTGGACCACATCTTCCCGACAGTCGAGATATCACTGGCCAGCAAATATCAAGGAGCGACTGCATTTTGGGGATGTTCAGCTCTCGCGGATCGAGATGAAGTCCAAGTGACCGAACAAGCTTCTGTCCAAGGAAGGTGAACCGATCGCGGCCTGGCAGATTTGAAATAATAACGACAGTGATGGGAATGGGGGGATGCTAATTCGAACAGCCGGGGCCAAAAAAAGGTCTCGAAATCGTTAAAGCCATGGAACTAGGTTCAACCAACTCAACGGCCTCACTTTGCCTAATCACGGACGGCGGTAATCCATGGATGTGCCCTGTCTATGGTAATACGGGAACGGGCCTATCTTACATATAGAAATATGACAGAGATCTGCCTGCACGACAATGTATGGATCAACCAGTAAAATATGTAATTCTCTAACTAAAAATGACAAAATCTCTTTCAACAATCTGTGCGGACATCGATCTAATTGTAATATGCACTTTTGTATGGTATGCCTCGTACTAATGGTCACATGATATGCGGGCACGAATACCCGTGGACCCTGTATCGAGCCCTGACCTTTCGGGACTGAAATCTACTCAGTGAGCCTAACCCTGAGCGCCCTCATAAAAGCATAAGACAGGAAAGCCCCACCCGGCAGAGGAAATATGGTAATAAATATAGGAAAATTTTTGTAATCTCTCGGGAATCCATCCAAGTCCTCATCTGAAACATATAGTGGGGCGCCAAATTCATTCTTTTCGCCTTCTCATTTTCACATATAACTATATAGTCTCCATTTATTATAGGAGGAGTACCTCGCGATGGTCCTACAACAAGTATTGCTTATTTAGTGCTCTACTGCAACGTGATAGCTACACGTTTTGTTTCAGGATCTATACGCCGTCTCATCCTTCAGGTCTTAGACAGCCCCACAATTTATCTTCCGCCCGGATGGTCTAGTGGTATGATTCTCCGTTTGGGTGCACGTCTCAAATTCGGAGAGGCCGCGTGTTCGAATCGCGCTTCGGGCCCTCGTCTTTTTGTTTTTCCTTCTTTCCTTCTTTGCTTTTTGCTTCATTTTGTTGTCCTATTATCATCTACTTCTGCATATGTTGCGACCACGCTGCGTAAAATGTGGAATCCGCCAAGGTGGACGATGATCCAAGGGCTTGGCTAGTACCTCCACCGAAGTTGTCCTGCACGCAGCTGCCCATTTTAGCCGAAAATTTACCGGAGTAATGGGATCCGTCAGACTACCGTTCGATCGATGAATTAAGCCAGGGAATTGATGGAGTCCTCGATTCGCACGTTTGGGACATTTTAGCTTTTAGATATATTATGGGTAGTTGGACATGGTTACTTGGTTCTGGTTTGCGGGGGAGTGGGTTGTTTATAGTTATTCCCTCTGTTATGTAGCCCCTTCCTACATGTCCATAAACTGAAGGAACGAAGCCGGAAGTGGCGGATGTAGAAGGAGCGTAGTCGTCGAGGAAACACTTGCTTAAAAAGGAAAACTTTAAAAGGGAAAGTAGGTCCCTAGTACTAAACTCTAAGGCTGATCCGTGGATATCCACGGATGTACCTACCTACATATGTAGGCACATACATATATATGTAATTTATGTACATTGTAAACAGATGGAACAGACGGTGAGATAAGAGGAATCGAGCTAATCTGGATTCAGTGAGATCATTGATTGACAGTCCCCATGTAGACATATGCCTACATAATGTATGTTATATAAAGGAATAGGACTATAAATGACACGCTTACGGAAAACCTTTGCCAAGAGAGTCTTGGAAGCGGCACAAACTTACTAACTATAATTCCACCACCTGGGCGTAGTTATCACTTCGGGAATGAGAACAGCTCATTCTACATCTCAATGCTATTTTAAGTGGCAAATCTGGTATTGTCTTCCGACGTTCCAACATAATACTTACATAAACTGTTTGATGGCCAGTAATCATTTACAGGTATACGCCGTTAGGGGCTTTGTCTTTTTTTAATAAAATTTGTTTAGTCTATTGTGAAAAACGGACAAAGTCACAGACTTCCAAGTTTGATCTTCCCAATTCAAATATTTCGGAAGTACGGTGATCCACGGCAACACAGGCGTGTTGAGTGACACCTACCGGGAAGTTGCCCGATAAGCTTCCCAGTGGCCACCACCCCCTCGCGACCTGCAGGAAGTTCTTCCCCGCAGTGAAAAGTGGAGTTTCTGATCTTGGAGTGCACTCCAATTGAGGGGAACAACATTGGGTGGAATTCTGAAACCGGGGGGGGGGCGGAGGTAAACCGCTTCAGCCTGGGGTATTGAACCAAAGAACATAAATGGTTTGGGAAGCAAAGACATGTCGGACTTGGGAAGGAATCGGATTATAAGGTCCACGGATCGAGAGTGAAGGCGCTTTACTTTGGGCGAGATAAGACACCAAATACCCCTGATGCCCACGCCACACAGATAACGGACGCATTAGGCCCTAATTCCGGTAAGATGTTGAGGCAGGAGGGTTAAATAGTCTCTCCAACCCCAGGATGGATACCCAATATACTCTTATTTTCTTGGCACATTCACAGTCTATATATCAGTATGTCACCGGATAAAAAACAAGACGAGCCCTTGACTCCCACTGCTTTCAGTGTCGGTCAGGTCAATGAAAGCTCTCATGATGCCGTCTTTGGTACAATCACGGACGACGGCCCGAACTATCGCAGTGTATGTCTCTGCTGTGATAGTAGTGGTTGTTATTCTCGCTAACAATACATTAGGTGGGTTGGCTAGGCACGGCCGTGTTGATGATGAAAACCCAAATAGGTCTCGGTGTCCTCTCAATCCCAGTGGCCTTCGATGCCCTAGGGGTAGTTCCTGGTGTAATCTGCTTATGTGCCATTGCTGCGATCACAACATGGTCCGACTATATTATTGGTGTCTTTAAACTTAGACATCGTGAGGTGTACGGTATTGACGATGTCGGCGAGCTGCTTCTTGGCAAGCCTGGTCGAGTCGTTCTTGGAGGTGCCTTCGTTCTCTGTAAGTCACCTGCATGTCAACCACTTGATGCTGTCTATTGACATGCCATAGGGTGGATCTTCGTCGCCGGCTCTGGTATGCTCGGCGTCTCCATCGGTCTAAACGCAGTATCCTCCCACGCCACTTGCACCGCCGTCTATGTTGCCGTTGCCGCCATCGTCGGATTTATGTTCGGCAGTATTCAGACACTAGGACGCATCTCATGGCTCGCGTGGCTGGGACTTTTTAGCATTCTAACTTCCAGTGAGTGATGCTCTCCACGCGGTGTATCCGAGCTAACCTCTTATTGTTCTCATCGTTACGATCGCCGTCGGTATCCAAGGTCGCCCTTCCGCCGCCCCAACAGACGTTGTCTGGGTCCCCGATTACGAAATTGTGAAGAGTGATGTATCATTCACCGACGCCATTACCGCCATCTCAACGCTCGTATTCGCTTATGCCGGCACCCCAGCATTCTTCTCTATCGCAGCTGAGATGCGCGAGCCTCTGCATTACAACCGAGCCCTGATCCTTTGCCAATCAGTAGTCACTGGATTCTACCTCGTGATTGGCATCGTCATCTACTATTACTGCGGATCATACGTTTCGTCTCCTGCCCTCGGGTCGGCTGGCCCCACCGTCAAGATTGTCAGCTATGGCTTCGCGCTTCCTGGGTTGATCGTCAGTACACTACTCTTTGTCCACGTAAGTCCTTTCCAAACCATACGTGTTGCTGTAGGTGGACTAATTATTCCTAGATCACGGCAAAGTATATTTTCATCCGAATCCTCGGTGAATCCCGGCATTTGGCAGCCAATACTGTTATCCACTGGGTTGTCTGGCTCGGCTGTACACTGGGTACTACGATAATTGCCTATATTATCGCCAGTGCTATCCCCGTATTTAGCGATCTTGTCTCACTCGTTGGTGCCTTGCTTGGTACACCCATGTGTTTTCAACCGATGGCCGGCATGTGGCTATACGACAACTGGAGCAAGGGCAAGAAAAACAGAACTACTAAGTGGGTGATGATGGTTGGGTGGTGTGCCTTTATTATACTAGCTGGAACCTTTTTGATGATTGGGGGAACATATGGGTCCATTGTCACAATTATTAACACTTACAGGAAGTCTGGGGGTTCGGCAGCCTGGTCTTGCGCTGACAACTCAAGCTCGTAAGAGCGAGGCTCCTCAGAATGAACATCGATGTCTACGTTTCGAAGAACCAAATAGTATCCCTTCTTTGCATATGTCAATATACAGTAAGATCATCGAGCATTCCACAGTCATACTAAGCTCCAAGCATACCGACGGTTATCCGTAAGGACAGTTAAATGGGTCTTGCAAAAACCGAGACTGTACCGAACAACATCATGTACTCGGGGAAGTATTAATAGGGACGATGGCAAAGACTTTAAAGCCCCCAAAATTGTGAAAATAGGGCTCCTGTGGTCAGTCCTATGCCTTTGAAGTTTATATTAGGCTCTACGTTGACTCTGTCTGTGCGTTACTGAACGTAATTGAGTGAAGAGACGAATGGGAACATGGGGGCTATTGGACTTTGCGACGAACGAAACCTAAAAATGATCTACGGTAACATCTTTGGAAAATTTAGTCCGTTTCGACTAGGTTATCGTAGTCATATTGCCATAGCAACTTCACAAATGGTGGTCCTTCTTCTGCCAAAGCGCCAATACGGCATTTCCTGCCGTCAAATATGTTAGGCTAACGCGACCAAATCCGACGGTCGGAGCGAGCGGAGGATATCCTGTGTACTTTTTTGGCTGCCGTTCGTATGCGTTAGCCATCTTTGTACATTTGTAGTGCGATAACTGGAATAGAATAACACGACATACCCTACTTGTCCTTAGACGAGCAGGCGCCCGCGGCGTGGCTTCCGGACGTTACGGGCGTTGACCTGCCAAAATGAGCATTTCCTTCTATTTGAGGGATAAGCATATGGATCTTACACGGGACACGACAGACGCGGCGTTTATCGCAGCCATCGTGGCTAATGACCAGCACCGAGGTTGCGGTGTGAAAGAGACCGAGGTTGGCGAGGTTCGACAATAGCAGTCGCGCGCTTTTCCTTTGCGTTACCGGAAGTAAAGTTTGGCTGAAGACCGTCCGGAAACCCAGCGATAGGAGCATCCGGCCCATCGCGGACTCGTCGCTGCCAGAAGGCAGTCCACACCGAAGTGGTTGGTTCGACCGCAAAAGTCGCAGAATCCCTGCTGTCGATGCTGTTGCTGCTGCTGCTCTGTCTATTAGTGAACGTCCCAACAATCTATTAATACGTGCTAGTGATGGCGGGGATGAGAGGTCTTATTGCACTAGGGGCTTGAAAGGTATTGGAGCGACCCACACTTAAAGACTGAGGGCTCGGCATCTTAGGCGAGGCGGGTGAGAGGATGTGACGGTAAGGGTTATTATTTTTTGAAAAGGGAAGAGAAAACGCAAGGATAGAGAGAAAGCCTTGTAGAGTTGACAATGGGGTGTTTACAAACGCAAGTTACTTTCGCTTGGAGTCTCGACCTTGAAAGCGCAAGCATTATCTTGCAAGATCTCTTAACTACCTAGGTACATCCCCGGTGCATATGGAGTTAGTACATAATCAAAGGTTATACCCGTGGACATGGATCCATGGACAAAAAAAGTCGCTTTCACAAATTAAGCCTTTTTTAGCCCTTAACTGTGTTCTGAGATAGTTACATATGTAGGTAGGTAAGTAAGTACCTAACTAGGGTTTAAAACCAGCTGTAACACTGGGATGGGAAAACAGACAGCCAAGGAAGACACTAAAGAAGAGATCTGAAAAGACACCCAAAAAGGCACCAAACAAGACACCAAAACATACAGAACAACTATAAGAGTGTGATGGTACTCTTTAAAATGGGCAGGTGAGAAGCTGAAGCTACTAAGCCTAATTGGGATTACAATCATCTAGCCTCCAAGGTTCTTCGAAGCTTAGCCTCTTCCCTCTATGAGCGTCATTTCCGGTTAAAACCACTGTCTTTCCCACCCTACCGAGTCCTCCCAGTCAAGATATCCTGCCGTCCAAATTTAATCTGCAACAAAATGTCTTTGACCTCATTTTTAACCACAAGGGTCCTCATAGAGAGCTGGAGGATGTGTCTACCATAGTGAAAGACTTTCTCGGGGACCGCCTAACTCGTGAAGACCTCGAACAAAAGTATCGCGACTAGCAAAGAAAAGCGAGAAGCTTGCTGTGAGTGAGCTTAGTGCGAAGCAAGTCGAGACTATACTTCGGCTAAGACCAACCGATAAAGAGAAGGAGCTTTCACGCTTCCCTCCTACTCGGCCTCCGGCGGAACTTAAGAGTGTCCTGTCAAAAGTCGATGCGGCTTGTTCGAGAAGTTCTAGCAACGAAGCCAGGATTCGCTGGACCCTCGGGTTGCTACTCCTTTACGCTCATCACATTGCCACTTCCAGCCAACCGGATGCTGGCCAAGGGGTTGGCAACCAGACGGAAAGACAATGGATATTTGAACCAGTCATCCACAAGAAGAAGAACTTTGCCCTTGTGGGAAAATCAGACTACGCTATCTGGCATGGAAACGTCGAGGGCACGGCGGTCAACATCGTCATCGTCGAAGCAAAGTCGGCCGATTCCTCAAGTAAAACCGTTCCCCAATGCCTCGGGCTACATGGGTGAATAGCTGGAATATAAAAGAAATCACACTACCTAGAACCTAACTGGTTTGAAGGGATGGTTCACAGACTCAGACGACGCGAGAAGAAGCAAAACTGTACGGTGTACGGTATACAACTGATGGGAAAGCATTCTACTTCCTCAAGGTCAGTGAAAAGTCAAGCGTTAGTCTGCTTATCTCCTTACCTAAATTGTTCTTCTAATGCTGAATAGTGGTCCGTGTATACAGTTTCACCTGTTACCGGCAAATGCAACCATGCCCTTGGCTTGCTTGCATACCTTCTACGACAGGTTAGGCGGCGTCCCCCACCTACTTGAAGCAGTCTTCTGCCCAGAGTCACACTAAGGAAGGATCTAGGGGGTCTCTGTATGCATCTGAAACCTATGAAATGGGGGGCACATAACTGGACACTGGCTTTGAGCTCCTCTCCTCCTTTCTCTGTGCTTTTACAATGAATAAACCAAGTGATTAATAGACGCTGAGATTGAACCGTTAGAAATTCACGTAAAATCATCTATTCTCAATCTAACCTGATATATCCACATGCAAGTCTATGTTCAAATACCTGAGATGACCTATCTATATGCAAAACTCAAATACCTAAGCCTTAAGAGTATAGACAACACGACCACGTGAATCTGTACCCTTAAGGACGATCTCATCACCAGTACTCGACACAACACGGCGCTGATCTCCGTTATGCAAAACAATATCCAAATCCTTCCAAGCAGGAAGAAAGCCAGCCTCATCACGCTCCAACTTAACAAGGACCTTCTCCTCAGTAGAGCTGTAGCTAATCGTGTACGCGGCAGTACCAGGTTGGACCGAGATGCCATCATCTTCATACCAAGTCGTAGAAAAGACCGTACCGTGCGAAGTTCCCTTGGGCGGGAACACTTCCACACCACGGTAATCGTCGATATCCTGAACAGCCACTGATGCAGCGGTCTCGTCGCCAGGAACACGGGTGTGCACGCTCTTACCGACGGGAATGGCACCACCGACACGCGCAATGAGCGCAATGCTCTTCTGCCATTCTGACGATATCTCGGCCCACTGCCCGGATGCGAGGTATTGGTACGGAGCGTTCATGTTGACGTAGCCGTAGTCGAAGACGCCGGACTTGCGGGGCAGGTAGACGTTCGCGACGTCGATACCGGTTTTGTAAACGCCGCCAACGAGCACGGTCTCACCGAACCAGAACTGTTCCTCGCCTGCCTTGAGTGCTTTCGTCCACACCTCGGGATCAGACTCGTAGCCCCACCCGGTCCAGCGCTGCGGCGGTGTTGCGAATTTGTGGCTCTCCAGACCGAGAGAGTAGATGTAGGGCAGCATTTCGTAGCGACGCTTAATGGTAGCGCGGACCTGGGGTGTGATCTCGGGGTACATGAAGGGCTCGATGACGTCGCCGACGGAAGAGTCCTTGGGAGAAGTCTTGAAGCAGTTGATCGCGAAGCGGGGAGCGTGGCAACCGAGTTGGATCCAGCGGAGGAGGAGCTCCGGCGAGGGCTGGGGACCTTCGAATCCGCCGATGTCGTGACCTTCACATTGAAGAAGGGACATACCAGCGTTAAGAGATAGGGCGTTGGCGCCCTTCATGTTGTCCCAGCTGGTGACATTGTCACCGCTCCAAGAGGACGCAGCGTAGCGGAGAGTTCCAGCGGTAGCGCTGCGGGTCAGGACGAAGGGACGCAGCTTGGGTTCCATGTCTTGCAGAGCATCGTGGGAGGATTTGCCCATCAGCTCGGTGTGGAGGGCACGACCCCACAGACCAACGGAGTTCTTGACGTTCTTTGCTGCGGCGTCGGCGACGGTGGGTTCATTGAGAGCCATGGTCCAGCCATCGTCGGGCAGGGTGTATTCATTGTTGTCGTTCCACATACCGTCAATGCCAACCTTTTTGAGACTCTGGACGCCATCGTACCACCACTTGAAGGCCTCCGCTGAGGTGAAGTCTATGTGGGCACCGTCGCCGCCAGTGGCACCGCCAGCACTCCACAGACGCATGTATCCAGGCTCCTTTTCAGCATCATTGAAGAAGCCACCGGCATCAACGAGCTTCTGGAAGTCGGGGTGAGAAGCAAGCAGGAAAGGCTTGATGTTGGTGAGAAGTCGGATACCGTACTGGTGCATCTTGGCAATCCAGTCCTGGGGATCCGGGAAGCGCTCCCGGTTCCACGTAAAGACATTGCGAACCTTGGGCTCGGTCTCAGCAATTGAATAACCTGAACTCATTTGGTGAGCCGAGCAGGGGATGCCATGGTGCTTGAGCTTCTCCGCAAACTCCAGAAGCGCCAAATGGGCCTTTTGCGGCTCATCTAGCATGGTGTACTTGTAGCCACCGGAGATATAACCGTAAGCCCAGCGGGGTACCAGGATGGGGAAACCGACCAACTCAGCATAGGATCGGACAACATCCTTGATAGTCTTGCCGACAATGTAGTATTGCTCAAGACCACCATAGTCCTGACGGTACACCTTGAAGTGTCCCCAGAGACCATCGATCTCGGCTCCTACAGACCATAAACCGCGGCCATGGGTGGTCGAGAAGATGGCCACACATCCCTCCGAAGAAGCCTTGATCAGGAGCGGGATGTGCTTGTAGAGGGGATCGGTGTTGTATACGTCGTATCCAAAAGAGTCGGTGGCCGAGAGTTGGAATTGACGACCACTCAAATCCATGGGAGCCGCCTTCTCGCCAAGTCCAACATGAAGGCATTCACGGTCATGCACGGAGTAGTTGGCGACACCCTCTCCGTCTGCGACATAAGACCGCAGTGGTAAATCCTCGTGCAAAGGCTTCTCGGAGCCGGTCCATGACAGTTTGACCACAGGTGTGTATTTCCAGTCTACGGAAGCAGTGACACCGGAGACATCGATTGTCTTGGAGCAGCCATCCTCCTTGGCGAAGACATTGGCACCCTGGAGGTTGGTCTCGGGCTTGGTGACACTCGGATAGGGAGGGATAGGGTGGTCTGTGGAGGAGAAGGTGGCTCGGAATAGGTTGGGACGAACAGCCTCGAAGGTGAAATCGAAGGCACTTTTGCTCTTTGTGCTGCTTCTAACATGGACGGAAGCTTCCTGATTTGTGGCCTGGGGCACTTGTGAGTAACCCTTAGGGCAGCTTTCTTTTTGAGGCATGATCAATGTGAAATACAATGCAATTGACTCAGAGGAACTGGAGAGAATACCAGGATATTTCCTGACATGGTGGCGTATTTGAATGCTTGTCGAGTTCCCCTCAGTCCCATCTTTTCACCTACTCCGCGGTAGTTCCAATGATGGATTGCAGCTGTATAGAATCGGAGATCGGAGATAATCACCGAGAAGCGGAGACGCGAAGGCTGTGAACGGGCAAGTCCCGACACGATTTTGCCGCGAAACTCCGAATTGCCGTGTTCTCCCCCACAAAAACATCCCGGGACCCCAGATGGTCGATCCAACTATCATCCTTGCGCTAATTTTCCTCTCGGTCTTGCTCACCGAAGTCCGATACTAACGATTTTCGGCACTTACAATGACTCCTCTTCTTCCCATCGCCCCTCCTACAGCACTTGTCTCAGTGAAGTGATTGGATAAAACATCCCAATGTCGGCCGCGTGTAGCAATGCGTCTTGCTATTTCGCTCCAGATCAACTGACCGCGTGGACTGTATAAAGTTTCCTCGCCAACTATGCCAAGCGCTAAAAAGGATAAATCTACCGTCTGTGGTTTTCGCACTTCGGGTTTGGATTGCCTTGTCCGGGGAATGTAATATACTTCCTTCCCCACGGGGTTTTGCATAGACGTCCTATATCCAAGTTCTATTTCTCTTCCCTTTTCAATTTGATTTATTGTCTTTCTATAACTACTCAGTCTTTTGTTATTTCCCAGTGTGCCTCGGTGAGTGATCAGCTATGTCACAGCCAAAGGGCCAGCAAGAGGAGTTTGTGGAGACCATTGAACCCGAGCAGTCACGGGCTGTGCCTCATAACAATGGCACAGGAAGAGGAATTCAGCCAAAAGGAGATCAGGCTTTGCAGCTCATAGAAGAGGCAGGGCACTCAAATATTCTGACCCCCGAGAACAACGCCAAAGTTCTCCGAAAGATCGATTTGCGTCTGCTTCCCATTCTCCTCGGAATCTACTTCCTCCAGCAACTCGACAAGTCGACCATCTCGTACGCTTCAGTTTTTGGAATCGTTGAGAAAGCCCATCTCCATGGCCAACAGTACTCCTGGCTAGGGGGTTCGATCTATCTGGCCCAGCTGGTGTTCCAACCCCTGGTCGCATATCTTCTAGTTAAAGTGCCCCTGGCAAAGTTTCTCGCTGCTTCCTGCCTCTTATGGGGTATTGCTTTAACGTGCATGACTGCAGCTACAAATTTTGGAGAACTGCTTGCTTGCCGAATCTTTCTTGGTATCTTTGAGGCGGGGATTGGTTCGTTGTCTCCCTATAAAACCTTACTGTCCCTCCTAACGATGGGGTTTATTAGCACCGGCCTTCATCGCGGTCACTCAAATGTGGTACCGGCGTCGCGAGCAGCCTGTGAGGTTGAGTTCTTGGTATGCGATGAACGGAGTTGTGAATATGGTCTGTTCTCCCCGATGCCGCTTTTTTAGCACTTAGGTTGACAGTGAAGGAAAGTTTGGAAGCTTGATTGCCTTTGGACTGGGTCACATCAAGTCCTCTATATTTGCACCCTACCAGGTAAGTTATACCGCAGGTTTGTCTATCCAGGTAATAACATCTAACACCATCTAGATCATCTTCCTCTTCTTTGGTCTAGTTACTGTTGGGTTCTCTGCCGTTATTCTGTGAGATTTGACGCTGTTGCCTTTTATTTGTATTGTTCTAACTCAGTCTCGCATAGTGTTTTCATGCCCGATTCCCCCGTGTCAGCCAAGTTCCTTGGAGAGGAGGACAAGTTGCTATCAATTGAAAGACAGCGAATGAACCAACAGGGCGTCGAGAGCCACGAGTGGAAATGGGACCACGCAAAAGAAGCATTCCTCGACCCCAAATCATGGTTCTGGTTTGCGTTAATGTTCTCGATTTCGTGAGTTGGCCCAGATAAAACGAGTACACTAGACTCAAGTTGTTAACCAAACTTCAGTGTTCCAAGTGGAGGCATCACTACTTTTGGGCCCTTGATTATCAAGTCCTTTGGCCTCAGTGAATATGATACCATGCTTTTCAACATTCCCTTCGGTGCAGTTCAGCTTGTTGCCACAATGGGAGGAGCTTGGCTAGCGACCGTTTGGAAAATGAAGGGTCCAGTCTTGGCATTGCTCTGTCTCCCACCCATCTCGGGTTGTGTGATGCTGTTGCAGATTGCCCATGACAATGCCCACAAGGGGCCTCTGCTTGCAGGATACTACATTGTAAGTGCTGAATTGAAACGCAACAGTCATCGTGGGAGGAGTACTAATCGATTTTGACCAGATCTCTGTGTACCCAGCGATTAGTAAGCGCTTACTTAGTTCCAACCTTGCAAGGTTTCCGAATTTGAGCCTAACTGACCATCTCTAGCCCCGTTGATATACTCCTGGTCTGCAGGAAATACAGCTGGAGAGACAAAAAAGAAAGTTACTACCGCTATCCTGTATGTCGGACAGTGCGCTGGTAATGTATGTAGCACCCTACGCCCCATACCAGATTTCGTGCTGACATTCTTCCTATCCAGGTCCTTGGGCCTAACCTTTATACCACAAATGAAGCACCGCTTTACCGTCGTGGTCTGCTTTCAAAGTAAGTCACGGACACAGAAGCCTTTGAGCATCGGATACCTAACTACACACCTCACTAGCCTCGCGATGTTTTGTGTCTTGATAGGTCTGACCGGGTATGTTTACCCAATCGTAACTGATCTATATTTTGCTAATTGTGACTGCTTAGGGCAAACACCGCATATATGCACTTCCTAAACAAGAAGCATGAGAAGAGACGTGTGGCTCTCGGAAAGGACGCTAAGATTATAGACCAGTCGATGCAAACCATTCAAGCTGTCTCTGATGACGCCAAAGAAGATCTGCCCCAACAAGCAGCAGATGACAATGCCTGGAAAGATTTGACTGATTTGCAAAACGAGGACTTTGTCTATGTCTTCTAAGAGCTGGCTAGTTTAATTAGCCTGTGTTGTAGTGGTTAGGGCTTCTGATTTTGCTTTATTTGATATGCCACCATTGTATGAATCAAATGTAACTCGGAATATATTGTATTTGCAATTACACTACCCAAGCCCCATAAAAACATAGATCTTTTTTTCTATTGAACGAGTTTGTTGTGGGACCTGGTTGATTGGACAGCCGGCTCGGAGAAATAGCCGAACCCCGCGTTTCTCCAGGTTTTCTTTCCGTCAAACCCGAGAATCATCAGCGCAAAAAGAGGACCGCTGGCTCTATATGGCGGACCAACTTGGCTGTCGTCCGTACAACACGGTGATAGATGACGAATCTCTGCACCTTATTCCAGCGCCAACAGGGAAAAAGCGCATTCCGGTATGTCGCTGTTTGAACCAAGTGGGACCCTACAACAGCAGAAGAGTCCTAACCATGCATGGCGTTTTCAATTCATAGAAGGCCTGCAATGCTTGTCGACAATCGAAGGTCTGTGCTCAAGTCTTCCGAGGCTGAATGTTGCGGGGGTTTTAGCTGACCGTGTCAAGGTAAAATGCGATGGAGAGAGGCCATGTACAAGGTGAGTTATATGTCTTGATCGCACATTTACATAAGGCCTAAAATTTGACGCTAATGAACTAGGTGTCAAAAATTGGGAAAGCAATGCATATTCTTTGAAATACCAAAAGACCCCGTGTCAGAGTACGAGCTTATCCTATGTAGCTATCAATCGAGACTAACATTCCCCAGACGGATCGAAGGCGTAGAGTCCGAGGTCCACTTTCTCCGAAAGCAGCTAGCTGAAATGCGCGAGTTACTTAAACAGAGCCGCTCGCAGCCCAACCCAAAACCCCAACTGACACACTCCCCAAGCCACCTTCGTGATCGGCAACAGCGAGTACGTCGCGAGAGCGCTTGTGATTCCTTGGGCTCTCATTGTCCTCATTCACAGGACGGCCCCCAAGACGAATTTCCAAGTATACCTGTCACGAGCTCCGCTGGTTATACGAATGGTCACCAATACCAAAGATCTATGCCGGGGTCCATACCAGCCCTCTCTCCAAATGAGACTGCAGCTCAGCCTCTCTACGCATCGAATCAGATAATTACTAGACCCCCCAAGAGAAAGCGATCTGGGTTTGAGATTCGAGATGAGCCCATTACCGACTTTATTGATAAAGGACTCATCACGCTTGAATGTGCCGTGTCATATTTCAATACGTATGTATGATCGAAAACTTATTTAGTGATGAGCGATTTCGGCTGACTGAAAAGAAAAATTCCAGCTTCTTTGGAGGATGTGTATGTATCATCTCTCACTACCACGCTTCAAACGCTCATGTTTTGCGAATCATACAGGACAGGTATATCCCGATCTTCGACCCTCAATATGACACCTTCGACTCCATTCGATCTCGAAGTAGTATTCTTCTCAACGCAATATGTGCCATTGGGTGCATGGTCGAAAACAGTGAGTCTCCTCCCTCGGTGAATTTATGTATAATGCTATTATACTAAGGAGTTGTTTCCAGGATCCGGAGGTTCAATGTCCGACATTCTCCACGCCGAACTCAAGAAATGGATCAATGTCATAGTCCAGAACAAGGAACTAAACTGCCTAGAATCAGTCCAAGCAATGCTCGTAGTTGCTTGTTATTCCGCAGAACGCTCGCTGATTTTATCCTTCGCCACTCGTATGGCACTGGACCTGGAATTGCATGAGGCCTTTGATGAATTGATCCAGCGGCTTGCCCTTCAGAATGAAGATATGGCTTATGCCTTGCCACATCAAATGTTTGAAGAGGAGAGGACTCTTATGTGGAACGCTCGGACTTGGTTCGGGCTTTTGGTTCTCGAGCATATGTAAGATGGCCTCGATCGTTTTACTGGGATTACTGGACTAACGAGCTGTAATCTAGATTTCGTGTTGATGGTGGAAAGCCACCTGGCATTCGCCTAAAAGGGAATGTCCGCCGATGCCGGGTTTTACTTAGCCATCCATCATCCACAATTTTGGACTTACGGTTATTCTCTCAGGTCGAGGTATGTTCAGTACCTAAAATACACTTGCAGAAGTACTGATGTTTGCTGCTAGTTAAACATCCTCAGAGGTATGACGCTCCGTGAGTTCAGGTGCAATGTCTAATTTACTTTCTATAGCCAATGTCGGCGATGCTCTAGGAGGAAACTCATCGCTTGATGGGCAAAGGATCGCGGATTACGTTCATGATATGAAAATTGAACTAGATCTATGGTTTGAGTAAATTTCCACGTTTTATCGCATCTCAACAAAATTGCTAACCTTGGACAGTGACTGGCTACGCATTATCGGTATGTCCGATTGCCACAATGCGATAAGACTTGCTAATAATTCGAAGAAAGTTGTGTTGCTGCCGCCGAAGAGAAGCCATCTCTACTCGTCGCCCTTCGAGTACAGAAATGCTGGGCAGAAATGATGCTCAACTGTAAAGCATTACGATCCATGGGCGTTGAGAATGTAGCGTAAGTACCACTCCACCTAGTGTGTTTCCATCTTAGTTAACACAAATATTAAGTGCAATGTCCACCACGGAAAGAACAATACTCCTCACAGCCAAAGCAAGTGCTCGCCGGCATCTCCGCCTCATAATTGTTGATCCAGACTTCTACCTCGCGAAGCTGAGATACGCAATGGATTTCGTCTGGGCTAAATGCGCATTCTCCTTCTTATTGCTTCTCAAGTTATCCCGTCTCATCCCCGAGCGCGACGAGGAGCATCAAGAGCTCCTGGAACAAGGTAATCGGCTTGTCGATGAGCTGAGTAAAGCTGGAGCTAGTGGAACTCAGTCCGGAGCTGGGAATATTTATCTCCAGATCTTGAAGGTCAGTATTGAGAAGTACGGGCGTGCATTGATGGAAATACAGCAACCCAGCTCGGATGGCCCCACGGTTACTTCACCGTTCTGGGAGTTGTTTGATGCTCAAGCGGATCTTCAGTGGTTTGTCCCTGAGCAGTTTGTCTCCGAGTGGGACTTTCCGGGGCTCAATTTGTTTTACTTTCCTACTGCTTGGCAGGATTTCTTTGGAGATTTTTCGTTGGCTATGTAATCGTAGAAATTGTATTTTAGCCTCCCAATTGCTCAATGTCAGATATGGTTACAGACATCTATTCCGCTCGAACTGTCGTTTACTTTTGTAGTAGCCCAAAAGGGGCAAGGGATGAGCACTTAAAATGGAAAGGTAAGCTAAGATTTGCCGTATATGATCCGGCACATATGCCTACGTGTATATATCTATCTTCGTACTCCGTACATATTATCTTGGTAGGTCGCTTATATTAGTTCGTTATAAATAGAAAGAAACTATACATGTATTTCATCCAGACAAATGAAAAGATCTATGAATGCCCCACAGACACAGAATACTCCACATCCTTCCGAATAATCATTCTCGTACTTCCATCACTCCCACTGCGCGTACTGCCCCCATCCCTTTCGGACCTCCCTTCGCCGGAATGCGACGGCCCCGCAGCTTGACAAACAACCGTCCCATTCTCCGTCCCATCGCCCACATGCGGCCGCTCGTTGAATAGGCCACTCGCCCGGTGCCCGGGCCGCCCCTTCACATTGCCCATCTCGTAATCCCGTGACCGCCCTGAAACGTAGGGGTCTGTATCCCCCCGTCTCCTGGATCCATAACCGTAGCCGTAGCCGCCGCTACTACTACCGAGGTTGGAGTCACCGGCTGTGCCGTAGTGGGTTGTAAGGGCATTCATGAACGGCCGCAGGCAGAAGACTGTGCATGCTACCAGAGCATAGTTGAGGTGGAGCTGGGTGAAGACCGTGTAGCTGATTGCGGTGAAGGTAGGGTTTTCCGTGGTGGTGTATTCTTTGAGAGCGGAAAGGTGGAGGGCGGAGAATATTATTAATCTGTCGATTGCATCTGTGTCAGTTTAATGTAATGGGGCTCGGGGTGAACATTTGGGAAGCAGAAGAGGGACGTACGGTAGTCTCGCCGCGAAGGATACCATGATCACGATTTTATGTGAGACGTGCATCTGCAGACCCCAGACCAGGGAGATGCAGAAAGCGAATAGCAAAATTTCAGTCGAGACGTCAAGCGCAGTGATTGCCTGCCAGCGGGGAAACTTGTCACTGTTAGTATATCCCATTCCACGTCCATATATTCTATTCGGTAGAATACATATTGGCTCTTCTGCAATTGTAGACATACCAGGTTATGACACTGCTCGCCAGGTACAACCAAAGGCTTGTTCCCCTCGCAGTCAACTGCAATAAGCAACACTGATACGATAATCCCCACTGTGCTGAGCCCGAACGTCCCCCAGAGGATGCTCTTGTGGCGCCTGCGCGGCGTTAAGCGCAAGTAGATGGCGATGATGCAGCATTTCGAGAGGTACAAGGTTAAGAGATAGAGTATGTCGGCACCGAGGAGGGACTTTTCTGTCAGTTATTCTCTTATAACTAGACCCAGATGGGTGGGGTTTGCATAATAAATACATTTTGTATGCGATCAACGGCCTTCTCAGTGAGCAGCGATATGTCCGTCCCGAAACCTATGCTCGCTGCGTGAAAGATGATGATTGACTCGGCGATTGCGGAGATCTACTTCATTAGCTTCATCTACAGAACAGGTAAATTTCTCTCAATTGCGTACCGTCGCACCCAACAGGATGATATCGTCTGATCCCCATGGTGGATTGAGGAATACGCGCACGTAGACCCGGATCAGCAGACAGACCAGCGAGATTACTAGGCAGATTGCAGCAACTATGATGATAATGCCGGCATGGTGCTTCTCATCTATCGTCTCGAAAGGCGGCGACTGGCCGGGGGGTACCTTGATGGCCATTGCGGCACGGAGACCAGATTGTGGTCTATGGGCGGGAAGGGTCAGGGAGGGAATGATCTAAATAAAATGAAAAAGAACTATGATCAGCAACCATAATGGCGATTCCACGGATGGTGGTCGCACAGCTCGGGCAATTCAAGTGGAGATACCTAGCAAGGACGGCATCCTTAGGGCTAGCAGCTCGGGTGGACTCGAAGCACTTGGGTCCAGAGGGAGCCGAAATTCTAACATGATTGAACATAAACTAGAATCTTCTCTAAATCCCTATCCTAATATGGCCCTGATACAGAATATGGCGCTGTAGATGTGAGATAAAATGGGTCCAGTTCTTCCAGATTAGGTAACTAAGTCGATTTTTTCGAGTCTCCTCAAGCTGGAACGCGATCCAATGCAACATGATAGATTAAGTTTACTGGGCTATTTTGTTAGCCAGCCATAGGGCCGACGGTGTGGGTATATAGGGCCATATGGGGGCTGAAAGTCTTCCGCTGAAAGTATCTCTACCGAGCTGCCCCTCCGCCACCTTAAAATCTAATAAATTAAACGATTCATGGAAAGCAGCCCCAACTGGATCGCTAGTATCCAATTAGTGGTGATGGAGGCTAACCGGACGATCTCGGGGACTACAATATGTTGGTACTGCGTATATACCTCCAAACGAGGTGGGATAAAGTCTGGGCCGAAACCTTGGAACTCTTCCGCTTATAGTAACATCCTCCACATGCCCTCCACCATGGCAATATCGAATAAATTAAAATAGTCCATCGAGCTTATGCCCACGACCTTATAATCCCCCTTCGGAGGATTTAATATATCCCTACAACATTATTTAGGGATGCCAAGTCGGAAGGATGCGGTGCACGAGGCCATACGTAATGCATACTACACTACGGAGTACTCCGTAAGGCACTTTCTTTTTTAGCTTTGCTCGTTAGGTAATATCCAGTTTTCATAGACCCCTTGATTAGCTTTCTCCCCAAAATATATCCAGACGAAGAAACTTTCTATGGGCTTCTGATGTTCACCGACCGGTCGGGATGCCGAGTTGACCGACCACCGTTGTGGCTTATTCTTGCCAAGCGCTCCACTCTGCCCTCAACTTTACGATGTTGCAGCGAACCCTCTACATCATTATCGTACAACTCTATAGCAATTACCCTTGGTGATAGTAATAATATATATCTAGATCTAGATACTACGTAGCGTAGAATGTAACATAGTCAGTGAAGAGTTCACCTATAAAACTAAATGGCATATAATTCTCTCTAACTATTAGCATACCAAATCACTTTTTCTCCCTCTAGCGTAATAATTATACAAGTGGGTAGGGATTACATCTCTCGCTTCACGAGCGCCACGGGCGGGATGTAATGGTGTCGTCCCCGCAACACATAATACACCACCGCAATGATCAGAATGCCCCCGTACATCACTACGCACCAGTTCATGGTGTCTGGTTCCACTGTCGAGGTGAGCGGGAAGAAGGCGAACACGAACACTGGGAGCAGGAAACACAACGCCCCGATGTTGATTGCCATGCCGAACCGGCCTAGCGACCATTTGCGTGGTGGGAGGGGTTCCCCTCTAATACGCTTCAGGAGCACACACGCAATCGTGATGATGTACGAGGACATCATTGCGCCGATGGTCAGGGTCACGATAGCGAGAAGCGCGGTTGTGGAGCCGATGTTGATGAGCGACAAGAGGACTGTCACTGCCAGCGAGACCATCACGGCGTTCAAGGGGATGTTCCAGCCGGGGTTTACCTGGTGTTTTTAGCATTGTCAAACTCGGATGAATATAGGAGGACGTACATATCCGAAGAAATCCGAGAAAGGAAGACCGCGATCACGCGCGAAAGACCACAACTGGCGCGATGCCGTTGCCACTTCTGTGATCGTACTCGCCGTCAGGGTCAGCACCAGAATGGCGGTCATAGTATTCGTCCCCGGCAGACTCTCCGTCGCGTTGTAGAACACCTGCATGAACGGGTACCCTGTCGGAGTGGCCAGGATGTCGTCAATATCGCCTAGTGTGAAGCAGACCGTCACCAGCATCACGAAACCGGAGGCGGCGTTGACAATGACAGAGGTAATCATCGCCTTTGGCAGGGTCTCAGACGCATCTTTAATCTCCTCCGCTGCACACTATTAGCGAAATTCGTCAATTTTAGAGAGACACGTACACATGTGCACAGCACAATCGTATCCAATTAGCGCCGTGATAGTGGTCGAGAACCCAACGAGCGTGGCAGTCCCAGCACTGTTCCAGTCCCCGCCGTTGTTGAATTCGGTAAACACCTGCTTCGCGCTACGGCGAGGGCCAAGCACCCACAGCGGAATTATGATGGCGAACAAGCCGCACACATGCAGAATCAGAATCAAAACCTCCACGAAGGGCAGCCGCTTGGCTAGGAAGGTGTTGAATATGATCGAAAACAAGGTGATGGCGATCACCAGCAGGGTGCCGTGCCACCGCTGGGCGCCGTAGTCCGGGTTATTCAGCACCATCAAGCCTTGGATAATAGTTCCAGCCAGATAGGCAATCGACACGATGGCGCATTGCCAGCCCATAGCGCACAGCCAGCCTACGTAATTAACATAATTAGCTTGGTTAAGGAGGAAGGGGCCAGGAAAACTTGCCGGTGATGTAGCTGAGGAATTTCTGGCAGCTAGGAGGGGCAAACTCTGATACCCAATGGTATTGTCCGCCGGAGGTTGGAGCCCTGGGAAGTCAGAATGGATAAAAGGTCGCAATGGGTTAGACTCACATGGATGCCATCTCGGCCAGACTCAGGAACACCAAAAGAAAACCAGCAGCGACGATGAGGAACCCCCAGATCAGACCGGCAGTTCCTCCATCAGTCAGGCCTTGTGCAAGCAGGCTAGACAGTTAGTCGTTAAATCAAGGAATAAGTATGGATGGCATACGTCAAAACAACCTCCCACGTGGCGATCAGCGTGCAGCCAAATCCTACGATGGAGATATATCGGAAGTTACGCTGCAGGGTCAGCACATATGCATAAGCCACAATAAGACTAGGGAGCGTACCCGCAAAACCTGGTCTCTCCCCAGAGCGCTCATATCGGCCTGGTCGGCCTGGGTGCCGCGCCATTTGGGGGCGACATAGCCTCTGGACTGGGCTTCGTCGGCCAGAGTCATGGTGACTGTTGAAGGATCTTTGTCCCAGGGCATATTGACGTGTAGGCAGCAAAAATGATTAGTATAAAAGACAGGGGTAGTGGTGGGCCGCGTCAGTACTTTGTATAAAAGAATGGTGTCAATGGTTAGAATATTCTCCGTCCCTCGTGGAATCCACCCGGCGCATCTATCCGACAGTGGAGAACGGAGTCGCTTGCCTCCAACAAAATCTGCATTATTGGCAACTGAGACAATGGAACTCTTAGGACTAGAGCATGGTTGCAGCATCCTGCGGCTTACTCCGTACGGAGTAGTATGAACTAAGGATGGTGTTGATTGTGGCTCCACTGTGGTTGTTATTGCCACGCAGGGAGTGGGGTTGGCCATTGTGTTGGCCTGTCCGGATTAGTGTGGTACAGTCAAACTGGTCAAATTTGGACCCCCTTAATATTGTAATCATTTTGCTCCATAGCTTGGACGATTCTGCTAGAACAAATTAGCTTATACGGAGTTCTCCGTATGTCCTGTAGTGTACCTTGCATATAGTTAAGGGCGCCTTCCAGGGCTCTAGATTAGGCTTAGTCCCCCGAAGTGCGAACCTTGGTTCTAGAATCATAGGGCTTACCGCCCATCCGATTTTATATTGCCATTCCTTAATAGAACCTAACAAAAAATTAATAAAAGTCTCTTACTCCACTCGGCAATCATGCGAATTAACGGGATTTGACTGTATATTACCACTTGGCCATTTCTGGTCTGCTGATTGAGCCGATCCACTTCCCTGGCCATACGGATACACGGACACACGTTCCTTCTGGTAAATTGGGAGTGCATGCTCTACTCGGAATATCAGGTCAATCAACATGCCAAGACTCGAAAATCCTTTTCAACAGAGCTTTGTTGATACTAGCCTTTTTGACTCAATCCAACTAAAACAACAATGATTGGCTCCCTCAATACGTACGGATATCCTGTTGGAAAACTCCTTGCATGAGAACAGAGTACCATTGGAACTGACTATCAATTGAAATAACCGTCGTCTGATTGGCATTTTATCTTTTTCCTCTTTACTCTCACCCATCACCATGATCCCCCTCATCCCCCTCGCCCTCCTCATCCTCACCTCCTACCTCATATACCACCATGTGATAAACCCCTACTTCCTCTCTCCGCTATCTGCCATCCCCAATGCCCACCCCACATCCCCCCTCTCCAGCCACTGGATTGACCACAAGCGTAGCACGGGCACGGAAGTCCTCACCATCTACGCCCTGCACCAAAAGCACGGCCCCATCGTCCGTCTCGGCCCTAAGGAGCTGAGCATCAACTCTCTCCATGGTTTGAAAACAATATATACGGGCGCTTTCGAGAAACATGCCTTCTACAACGATGTTTTCGTCAACTTCAACACAGAAAACATGGTCGGCATGATGCACAATGCGCCGCACGCGCACCAGAAACGTATGCTCAGCAAGACCTACTCCAAGTCATTTCTCCAGGAATCCATTGATCTGCGCGTGATATCAAAAGAAGTGCTGTGGGAGCGACTTATGCCTATTCTCAAAAAGGCGGGGGAGGACAGAGAAGTGCTGAATGTGCTGCCGCTGTTCCAAGCCGTTGGGATGGATTTTACCTCTTCTTTCCTGTTTGGATTGAGACAAGGGACGAAGTATTTGTTTAATATTCCCGAGTGGAAGGTGTGGTTGGAGGAATATGAGCGGTTCAAGTATTTGAGTCGGCACGACCGGTATATGGGGTTTATTGAGAGGTGGTGCTTGGGCTTCTGCGAGCGGATGGAGGCGTCTAAGAAACAGGACGCCTCTGGAGACGAGGAGAAGCTGCCATCCACGACCGCACTCGTCTACGACCAGCTGCGACAGAGCCTCCTCACCCAGAAAGAACACGATCCACGTCCTCTCAACCTAGCAATTGCGTCCGAGCTGCTGGACCACCTGGTTGCAGGCCACGAAACGACAGGCATCACCTTCACGTACATGATGTGGGAGCTGTCGCATCATCCGGAGCTTCAGGCTGAGCTGCGAAAGGAACTACTCACCTTGTCTCCATCCCTCCGATACCGAGAAACAGACGGAGAGAAGCTCCTTCCCTCTCCTTCTGCGATCGACGCCCTTCCCCTGTTGGACGCTACAGTCCGCGAGACCCTCCGTCTTCACTCCCCAGCCCCGTCCCAACTCCCCCGCGTCACGCCCACTACAGAAAAGGGGACTTCCCTGCACGGGTACGACAGCATCCCGGGCGGCGTGAGGGTCAGTTCAACCGCCTACTCCCTCCATCGCATCAGTGAGGTTTACCCGCGGCCGCTGGAATGGCTGCCAGAACGATGGCTCGAGCCAGGCGACAAGATCCACGACATGAGGCGGCTGTTCTGGCCGTTCGGAAGCGGTGGACGCATGTGTCTGGGGAGTAATTTTGCGTTGCAAGGTATGCCTCCCAAGTCCGGGTGTTTAAGAAGAGACTAATGGTGTAGAAATCAAACTGGTCATGGCGGCTGTGTATTCAAATTACAAGACATCTATTGTAGACGACGAGGGTATCGAGCAGGACTACGCGTTTATTTCGCTGCCGCGCGGCCGGAAGTTGATGTTGAGATTTATCCCGGTTGATGAATGATGTGACGCAGTCATGATAATATTGGAAGTAATGAAAAGCATTATTTGATCTTTCTTGAGCTTTCCGTGAGCTGTTGGATAAGACTTTGCCCTGGTTTTCCATACGAACACCAAGTGAAGATCCCACGCATCGACTGCCAGGAACGCCAAAGGCAGGTCTCCGGTATTCGATCCAAATTCTGATTACAATATAGTTTTTAATTTAGCCACATTCACCAATGGTTTTGGCTTCCACATCGATTTCTCTTGGTCTCTGCACACTCATGATGCTTGGACAAGCTTTAATTCCAAAGACCTTGACAAGTTTCGAGCCACCAGGAAAGCCATATCGGACTTTCTTCCAAGATATTGGAGCGCACGAATTGAGAATTCACAATTCTGACGTAGGCACTCGGTATAAACATCTTGCTCTGCGGAAATATCGAAACTTTCCAGCAAGATATATCCCGCCTTGGCAAAAGAATGGACAAGCACGGCCGTCCACGGTTCAACTAGGAAGGCCACTTCACTGAGTGAATCATGGAAATAACGGTTCATGAACGACTCCTGCCCTTGTATCGAAGCTCGGGCAAGTCCGCCAACTGCCAACGCATTATTCGTTCTAAGCGTGTCAACCAAATGTGTAGCTCGCCGAGCTTCACGTGCAACATCAGAGCCGAGCCTGCATTTATCAATGCTCTCTAGCATGTCCGCCAAAAGCATCCCAGCGAGGTGCCAGTGGCCGTCGAGGATGACGTACCATGACTGTATGCGAGAAGGAAGCAGTTCATGGTTGGTGACGCAATCGAGCATGAAACTCTGGTATGTGGACTCCCAGTGTTGACAGACCAGGAGGGTCTTCTGGATGAGATTTTCAATATGATCGGGACTTGCACCTCTGTAAACAAGAGTTTGGAGCTGTGTCACCCGACGGTAGAGTAGCACTTTGACAGGAGTCGCCTCCGAAAGTATCGATGCAGCTTCTTCGTACGAACATGGCCATCTCGGTTGGACTTGGCTCGTTCCCTGGCGTTCTATTGCAGAGCGAAGAAAGAAATCACCCCACACATCCTGTTTTCCATGTGTCTTGCTTTTTGGAATATTCCAATGATCCAAATCAAGCTGATACCCGTGCTCAGCTATTTTCAGCGAGGCCGATGAAATTTGGCTATCCTCATCCGACACTACTAAAGGGCGCTGATACATTGCAGAACTCAGGGTATCGAACATAACGCCTAGCCAAAACATGAGATCCAGGGTAGTGCGATGTTCTTGGCTAGTCAGAAGTGGATCGGCTTGCGGAGACTCGGACGGCTGCGGCATTTCCAGAATGTTTGCCGTTGCCGGGTCTCTTGACCCCCTCCCAAGCTCTCTCACTTTGGAAGCCTCTCGCTGCAGTCTTGTAAACTTGTGCCGAAAAGTGAAAATCTGGCGGTTGGCGTTTTCGAGGAAAATTGGTGCACGGTCATTCTCCAAAAGTTCTCCCAGGCTTGCTTCCTGTCCTTTGTCTAGCGGACTCTGGGTCAAAGAGAAAATGATGTTTGCGAATGCGATACGAAACGATGGAATGCTACTCGAATGCTCCAAAGCATGGCGGGCTTCGTTCCAAACTTTCTCTCGGATAGATCTCTCATCATGGTCGATTGCCGAAGGAACTGACGCACCGGCGCCCTTCTGTGCATGTTGAGTCCACTGCGATGCAAACGCCATAATCGCTAGATGAAGCGCCCGAGCCGCCTTTGTATCCTCTGCCGCACTTAAAGCTCTGCCGCGTATTGAGGATGATACACGATCCAACTGACAGACCCGAATACACATTCTGTTTGACCAACTCGGACCCCATTCTTTCATCCCTCGATGAGGAACTACTTGACTGATTGAGTCGCTGTAAGGGCAGTTGTGCTCTGTCAACCAACATGATAAAGCATTTTCCATGCTGTCGTGGTATATGCGGACCAGGTTGCGTGACATTGTCGCACGAGCGCTTTGCTTGGCTGCGTTTTCAGAAGCGATGCAAAAGTTCCATTGTGTTTCTGTGTTTGAGCTCCGGTCAGGCGCAGACTCTGATGGATGCTTGTGTCGACTCTGCTTCCACGTTGGAACCGTCGATGTGAGGTGAAGAGTGGGTGCATATTCATGTTGCGCTAATGAGCTGTACGTGCTATCGAGGGAACTTGGTGGTAAATCCAAAGATTCAGCCTGGACATCGGACTCCACGGAAGAGTCCGGAGATCCATGTGGATTTGAGCTATTAACTTGAAAACCATATGGGATATTCATCGTCCAAGGAAATAATTGAGACTGGCCACTACTTGAATTGTGGAGTTGGAATGACTCGAGAAAGTAATTCTCAGGGCGCGAAGAGGACGAGGATGAGGCGTAATCTGTGTTTTCAGGAGAGCCAAACAATTCCGGCAATTCTCCGAGATTGGCAGTATGCGTTTGTGCAGAGCGCAGTATCCCATCAAGAGCTTCGTCATTAGAGCCCACGATACCTGCGCTTGTGGTCTTGATTTTGATTCGTTTTCGACTCCCTCTCGAGTCCATGCGCTTTGAGGAGATCCAGTTGAATGTGCATTCTTTTTTCCATCGTGTGCAGTTCGAGCAAGTACTGAATGTGCCATTTTGTCGGTCTTTCTAGGTACCAAAAAGTCAGCATCTGCCATTGATGACACAGATATGGTGACAAACAGGTGCGTCGCAGCCTCTTTTGCCCTTGCGACATGGGTCACAGCTATGAAGCTGACGTCGGCGGGAGTCTTCCATGCTAAGCTGTTGCATGTACTATTGGTAGTCAATCGTACTTGCCGGAAAGAAGGAAGATGTATCGACCCCAATATGCAGAAAAAGTACGAGAAGGGTCTTTAAACTCAGACATTTCATATTTCGTGGGGGGACACGTGAACTTAGTAGAGTGCGGAGTGAGTTCAAGTGGGGTAAGAGTGGGGAAGGTATCCACTGGTCGACACGAGTCATGTTCGGTCCAGTGGAACTGTAATTGTACTCTGCTTCGACCATTGGGTTGGATGAGATGATGGTTGAGACAGATGTCAGGCGTAGCATATAGCGAAATGACGGCAGTGACCAACTATATGGTCCTAAAGTACAAAGAATCCGAAACTGTGCTACATACAAACGGCTAATCTTACCCTGCGGCCTCAGGACGTGGCACATTTTTGGGGTGACGGGCCCGGAATGCCGAAAAAGGACCGGATAGTCGTTCCGCCGAGACCGAGCCAATCGTATACAAACCCCCACGGTACTCCGTATGCGGTCACGGGCTCACCCGCTGCAGTTATGTACAACCGCAGGTTGATCTTCAATGTGATCGGCCAATTGAATTTGGTAGACGGCAGAGTTGTTTCGATCTACATTAAGGGGCGGTATTTCCCCCACAGCCTTGCTGGTTGAATTTCTCCTTCACATGATCTAATGAACAAGCTTTCCAACAAATTGCTTGACGTGATTGTCTGACCAGCCGAGTCACCGTCTAAGATAAGTGCTCCAGCCCTGGAGGGCTCCACCTGGGCACCTAGGCACCTGGCTATAGCCAGTTACTAAGCAAAATTGTGCTGGAATTCCCATTCCCGCATTTTATGCACTCATATGTAGAATCGATTTTTTACGGTATATTTACAATTTAAAACGTAAAAAACAGCTGAGAAGCTCCCAGCGATCTGAAGCTTATGACTGAGAAAGATGCACGCGGACTGTCTTCACCTCAGTGTAGTTCTCCAGGGCGTATGATCCAAGCTCCCGACCTATTCCCGATTCCTTGAAACCACCAAAGGGCATCTGGTAGTGAAGGGTGTTGTAGTTGTTAACCCACACAGTGCTATTGCAAGAGACGTCAGTAAATTCAGGAGCCTAGAGACCAGCTTTGCTACTCAATTGACTCACCCAGCTTTGATGGCGTTAGACACTCTGATGGCAGTGTTGATGTTCGTGGTGTGGACAGCTGCGGCCAAGCCTATTTTTGATCCAGCAGGTCAGACTATGGGATGCAAATTGAATGTGAAATCTCGTGGTACTTACCGTAGTTCGTGTCATTGGCCACTTGAATAGCCTCCTCCTCACTATGGACCTTCTGCACCGTGCACACCGGGCCAAAGATCTCTTCTTTCACAATTGTCATGTTGTCGGTGACATCAGCAAAAATCGTAGGTTGGATATAGTATCCTTCGCTGCCATGCCGATCGCCACCCGTGACCACCCTGGCGCCTGCACTCTTTCCATCTTTGATATAGCTCATAATCCGGTCATATTGGATCTGCGATACCTGGGGTCCCTGGAAGGTCTCGGTGTTGAACGGATCTCCGACCTTGTTTTGCTCTGCCCGCTTCTTGAAAAGCTCTAGGAACTTGTCATAGATAGCTTCGTGAACAAGAATGCGAGATCCTGCACAACAGCACTGCCCATGATTAAAGAAAATGCCGAGATTGACCCATTGAATTGCTTCCTCTAGGTTTGCGTCTGGGAGAATGATGTTCGGCGATTTGCCACCCAGTTCGAGAGTCACTTTCTTCAAGTTGCTATCGGCTGCTGATTTCATGATCTGACGTCCGACCAGAGTCGACCCAGTGAAAGCGACCTTGTCAATATCCATATGAGCGGCGATCGCTGCACCAGCAGTTCTTCCGAATCCTGAAATAACATTGACCACTCCAGGAGGGAATCCCGCTTCTTTGATGAGCTTAGCCACATACAGCGCCGAAAGAGGGGTTTGTTCAGCCGTTTTCATAACGATTGTATTTCCCGTAGCGAGAGCAGGGCCAATCTTCCAAGCAAACATCAAGAGTGGGAAGTTCCACGGAATAATTTGGCCACAGACGCCCACCGGTTCATGGCGTGTATAGGTCAAGCTATTAATATCAGTGTCAATCGTTTGACCATAAATCTTGTCTGCCCAGCCACCATAGTAGCGTATGCACCCTGCAGAGGCAGCAACGTCGCCTTTAGCCATTGTCACTCCCTTACCATTGTCAAGGGCTTCAATAACGGCCAACGTTTCGATGTCCCGTTCGAGAAAGTCTGCTAGACGAGTAAGGAGACGACCACGTTCGGACGGAGTGACTCGTTTCCAATCTCCGTTCAGTGCAGCGCGAGCAGCTTTCACAGCAATATTGACGTCCTCTTCTGCACCTTCGTGCACGGCGACAATAGGCTTCTCGTTGTGAGGATTGATCGTCTCGAAGGTTTTGCCTTCGACGCCTTTGACAAATTCATTGTTGATAAATCTTATGAGTTACGTCAGATTATTGGCCAGACGTATTCATCTCTTTTCTTGTTCGGCCTAACTTACAGTCCCAAAGGTTGCTCATATGTGAGCGCAGGGGTCTCAACGGTTTGGAAAAGTGACATGATTGAAGAATAAGAGACAGTTGATGAGATAGACTTAACAGAATGTGAGGTATGTGAGATATGTGAGATACATCAGAACTCGAAATATGACAGGAACTCTTATATAGCTACAGGAAGGACCTGGGTGGCGAGAATATCGGGGATGCAGAAAGCGGGGGTAGCATTGAGATCGATAAAGGCCGGCCCGATGTTTTTCGCTGTCTGGGGTAGCAGGCCCCACTCCGGGGTTTTCCTTTGATTACAGTTCCCTTCACCCGGACCATCACTAGTCAGGAGCTAAGCCGGGAATGAATGAACCCCGTCTTTTGGAAGTGTCCCGTGATGGAACTCGACTTTGGGAGACTGGCTGCAGAGGAAGTGAGGTACGTACGAGGTAGCCTTCCCGGTCCTGTTTATTTCATATGGCTATTCTTCCGCCAGATTAATTCCATCTCAATTATTACTATCTAGACAAGGACACAAAAAAATCGCCGTCTTAATTGAGTAGACAGTGCATATTCATTTAGTACTAATATCATCCTTCAATATCAACCACTATTTGGGATCTAAGCGGATCGTTGGCCCCCACGTCTCGTATTGATAGTACTTAATGCAACGCATTGCATGCAATTTCAGCCCAATTCCTGAGTCCACAACTAGGGCATCACAGCTTGGTGACAAGCTCGCGAGATCGTAATTCTTGACCTCGGGGTGTTGTGGAGACTAGGGAAATGCGGAGTATAGCTCTAAAAGCTCAAATTTGACATTAGCCCTATCTTAAATGGCACGACAGAGACGCGGTGAAACTGTTTCTCGTTGTAGCAATCGTTGAAACCGATTCAAATTCAGTATCTCAATTTATATATCAAACAAATTTGCACGCAAGTCTCCACACTTATATACAGCACACTCCAAGTCCATTGTCTGGGCTCATAGCACAATCTATCGGCAGTCAGCCGCCATTTACTCCGGCAGCTCGAGCACATAGCGGCCGGCAATCTTGCCTTGTTCTATTTCAAGTTAGCCTTTTGAGTCCAGTATACAAGTGGGAGTGTGTGACGCACCCATAAGCTCGAAGATCTTCGGAAGATCCTTCAGAGGCGCCAGCTTGAACGGAGCTTTGATCAATCCTCGGGCGAAGAAGTCGAGAGCTTCAACGCCATCCTGTTGATTTCCAACGTAGCTTCCCTTGATAGTGATCATGCGAACGACAGTATTAATCACTGGGGCCTTGAGGAATGCATCCGGAGGTAATCCGATCGCTACAATCGTGCCTCGAGAGCGAACATATTCCGAGGCCTGCTGGAAAGGCTTCTCTGAGACAGCCAACAAGATAACGGCATGAGCACCAAGACCACCGGGCGTTGCCGCTTTCACGTCAGCAACAAGGTCTTTAGACTTGGTAAAATCGACGAAAGTCTGATTCATTATTTTTTTTGTTAGCTTCGATATCCTATGTAGAGGATTGTCAGGGCTAAGAGATTCAAAGATCATACCTCAGTGCCAAGCTTCTCGCACATCTCTCTCTTCTCATCACCTCCATCGATAGCGACCACTCTAAGACCCATAGCCTTTGCGTACTGCTGTGCGAGTGAACCAAGGCCACCGCCTGCTCCGACAATAGCAACTGTTTGACCAGGACGAACGCCGGATTCCTTTAGGCCTTTATAAACAGTAATACCGGCGCAGAGTACTGGAGCTGCTGCGTCAAGAGGGACACCCTTTGGGATCTTAGAAGCATGGGTTGCTTTTCCGACGGCATATTGCTGGAAAGTACCATCGACAGTGTACCCAGAAAGTTGCGCATGAGCGCACAGAGGGGTATCCGATTGTCTGCAGAATTCACACTCAGAGCACGAGCCATTGAGCCACTTAATTCCAGCGTGGTCACCAATCTCAAAAGTGTTCACAAGATCACCCTTAGCCACGACGACTCCAGCTCCTTCGTGGCCACCGACCAGAGGCATCTTGACTGGGATGGGCCAATGGCCCATCATCGCATGATAGTCGGTGTGGCAAACACCCGAGTAGCGGATTTTGACCAGAATCTGGTCAGGAGCTGGCTTGGGAACGGGAATTTGCTTAAGCACCAGTGGCCCTCCGATCTTCTCGGCCACCTGCGCCCATTGAGTCTCGGGGACGGACATGTTGATGAGACGGAAAGGAAGTTTGAGATGATGTAAAAGTTCGTAGAAATAAAGGAATATTCTCTGGGGAGTCGATGGCTCTTTGCTGGGAGTGAATTGGGACTTTATAGCTAAGGGTGTCGGGAGGGGATGTCCGGGGTAACAAAAGGCGAGGCGGGCCTTTCGCCTCAATTCTCATAATTGCTATGATCTAGGGGAATTAGGTCGGGTGACCGGAATGCATCATGAGCGAGGAAGGATCCCAAGTACTGCAATAGGTAGATTTGTTGGGGATCAACGTGTATGCAGGAACTTGTCATGTATCTACACTTGAACCTTGGAACCAGCAAAATTAATGCGGGGAAATTTTGCGGGGATCGCGCACGGCCCACCATGCGGAGCCGCACGGGTAGCTCATGCGATTGGACGCAATGTTTTCACCGAAATGCTCACTTGTCCGGTTTCGGGATGATCTTGGACTCAGAAATGCCGTAGGGGAAATACAGTTGCCTAAACAATGCAAAGAAAAAGAAAAGGGTCCGTGGAAAAGGAAACTACAAGAGGGTTGAGATTACTGGAGGCGGTGCGGGTTAGTCGCCAAACCCCCAAGGCATCACAACAAATACATCTAGAATCATTTGACTAAACTTGACACCCCCAAACTTAGCCACTATTGTTACTTGTAAAAAGAAGATTGTAAATATAATTCGAGAGTCCAACTAGCTAGTCGTACAAGGAAAAAAAGAGGATGGCGAGCTGAAAATTCCGGAAAGAGCAAACAAATCCATAGAACCCAAGCATGTAAGACTCATTCTGCTTTCCCTACCAAATAATGCCATTCATAGTCACAAGCCTATCAAAAGCTTTCGCTTTGCGCTTCTTGTAGCTGTCGTATTCAGTAGCCGTGGGGGTCTTCTTCTATTCCGTGAGGAAAAAATGTACTTGACCAGCCACTGCTAATAGAAAATCCGGAATATGGGGCGTCTCTTGCATACATATGTAGCTTTGCTAAGTTGGCTCCAAACCCGTCCTCCAGAGCTTGGTATGATGTTCCTATTTCACTATCTTCAGATACGCTGGAAGATCTCTCTGACCATGTGGCGTATTCAGCATCTGAGAAGAAAGTCATGAAATTGTCATTTCTTTTAACCATTGTTGCCCTGGAAGCTTGATTTTTGAATTTGAAATTCGGTCTTTCGGTATAGAAAAAGTTTGGATCAATGACTTCATCAAAGACTGCCTCGAACGGGTCACTTCTGCGGTCTTGGATATGTCCCTCGTCGTTGGCTGATTGTTCAGTGGTTTCCTTGCTATACACGATATTAATATGAGGATGAAATTGTCCAGAAGGGGAGCTACACTGACTCATAACCTGTCGTGTTCGAAATCTCATCTTGTTGATGCCGGGCTTGCTGCGGAGAAGCGACGCCGCGATACACGCTGGCCTTGGCTGCTCTTTTCGTACACTCATAAAGGTATTTCGGCGGTTTGCGATGTCCATCAACACATTCAGATGGCATTTTTCGCTTCACGCATTGCCCACAAGGGCGTTCATTTCCTACCGCCTTTTGTCAGTTTACTATTCTCGAAATACGCTTGCGCGGGACGGCAGGGGTGTGTCCCTGAGCTCACCGCAGGTTTTATGGGCCTTTTGACAATACAAGCAAGATCTTCTAGCCTTTTTCCGAGGGCGAGCAATCTGAAATTCAGTGCGAGATGCCATGCTCAAACTAGTCATCTTGAACTTCTGTAGTGTGGGTAGGGAAATGCGGTAGTGTGACACTTATCGTTCCGACAAACTCGACACTAGGTCTTATAGATACCTAGAAGAAGGGTTCGTTATGAAGGTCACTAACGCCAAGGGTCCTCACAAGATATGGCCACCAAGGTGTTTATCACACCGGATGCGTTCATCAAATGCCATGTGAAACCCAAGACATTAACTTGAGCGGCTCCGCATGTTGGTATCGCTATACTCGTTGGGCTCAAAAAGGCTAGCCCCCTTCCCCAGACCGAAGTATGTGGCCCGTCCTCCATTCCTAGATAATGCGGGGTAAATCATGAAAATGCCCTAATCAGCTTTGATTTTAGCCGTGCGGCTCCGCATGAAATTTCGGAACCGCATGGCCCGAACCATACACTTTCGCCTCCTGGCAAACGGTAATCCCTTCCAAGATTCAAAATTCATGAAGACCCTATGATCTGCATTTCCCACACAAAAGGAAAACGCAGACTATCAACCTCTTTGTGCATCTGAAGCCCCGAGGGGACAGTTTCTGTGGGAACTTGACGAACGGGGAAAAGAATTTGAGCGAAGGTAACAGGTAACGATCATCATGGTTGAAAGCCTGGGGCACATGGGACATAGCACATCGATATGCTCCATTGGTCAATCTCCGATCAGCCAGCCAGCGGATCCACCATCTATTTTCCACCCGTTATTGAGTTCACTTCGCGTTCTGGACCCATCCGACCTCGCTTCAAAACAATATATCCTACACCAACCGTCTGATTGGACGCGGTGGAAAGGAGTATGATTATGCTTTCCCCCTTTCCTATAGTGCAATGAGCGAAGATCAACTACCCCATAGTTCACTCTAGCCACGACCCTTGGAAGGTCTGCGGTAAGGTTAAAAGTACCGTAATTCCCGCTTGTTGAAGACCAGCAAGGCTCAATTCTCAGAGCATCCACTCTTATACCCTGCTACAGTATATTCCTCTGCTCTTGATATTAGAGAGATCCACCCCGGCGAAAACAGAATGGACAGTGACATCAGTCAAAATGGCGGGACAAAGGCGACTTTTCAAAACAAGGAGAGCACACTAAATGGTCTCACCACAGTCCCAACATCGGTGACACTGTCATCCGAACAGTTCGAGAGGCTTTATTTGACCCCTATGACGGTTCGCCAATCACCGCTAGCTAAGAAGGTTGGAAATCCGACACCATTGTGAGTCTTCGAATGATACCTTCTACGCATAATACTTTTATCTAACTTCATGGTTCAACATCCAGGGCACTAGGAGGTTTTGTTATTACCACTACCCCCATTTCATGCTGCTTGATGGCCTGGAGAGGTGCTAGTGGAAATGGAGTTGCTTTCATGTGAGAGTTTGAACAAACCGACAAGGGAGGCTCATCTAATGAACTGGATAGTGGGCCTATCATCTTCCTTGGTGGTCTTTTGTTGCTCATAACGAGTATTCTTGAGTTCATCATTGGAAATACATTCCCCTGTGTCGTGTTTGGCACTATTGGTAGGTCTTCCTGTCTCCTGAGAGAAGCTTCAATTACTAGTTCACGTTGCTGATACTTTACCAAGGCGGGTTTTGGTTTGCATTTGCAGCCACAATGATTCCCGCTTTCAATGCAGCTGGTCAGTTCGCCCAACCAAATATGTCATTCCATCCCAGTTTAGGCGTCAGTTTATTAACATTTTATAGCCCCTTATTCCTCGTCGACCACCGATACAGCTGCCGGGCTAGCCAGCGAAGGATTTATGAATACCTATGGTAAGCGAAACCAAATGCCATCAAACTTGAGGAACTGCTCTCTGATGACACTAGCGTTTCTATTCATAACTATGGCTGTGCTGACGTTAATTTTCATGATTTGTGCAACACGTATAAATGTGGTATACACACTCATTTTCCTCTCCCTGCTCTTGGTCTTCCTTCTTCTATCTTCAGCATACTGGCAACTAGGCCAAGGCAATGCAGCTATTGGTGATCGATGTGTAAAAGTGAGTATTATTCCAGGTCTCTATGATTTCTCTGCTATTTGGAAAGAATTCTGACTCTCTTTCCATTTTCTCTCAGGGTGCTGGAGCTTCGCTCTTTGTTGCTAGTTTACTCGGCTTCTACCTGTTGATTGTTCAATTGTTTGAATCCATAGGGTTCCCATGCCCTTTGCCGGTTGGAGACTTGACACCACTTTGGACTCGCAATCAAGACAAGTGAGTCTCTTAAAAGCGACCAAACGGTCCATTCTGACAGAGTAAGGGAACAAGACGATATTGAGCAGCCAACCATTCGCTAAGGTTGAATCCTTTACGATATATCTATTGTTGCTTGTTGGTACAAGAACCTGGCTGTCTTTGATGTGCAGAATAGCTTCACGTTCGTCTGGTTCTATTGGTTGTTTTCCTCTTTGTTATTTCCACGTGGTTTTAATAGTCGTCCTGTCGCGGAGCGTAAGCGAGGGGCCTAAAGGATAGATTTACTACAGAGTGTCAGGTCATCCCCAAACTCGCGCAAATTGATTTGCACAAATATGTGACCGCTCAAATAAATAGTCTATCTTACATTTTAAATTCGATTGGCGAATTTCCCTAAGAATTGAGAAAAAGCAAAGTACACAATGGTATTATTTCTCTATGGAGGGCAGCTCTATCGAAGGTAAGCTGCCGTTGCAATATGTTAGCTAGACATGATCCGATCTGAAATATCAATAGAGAAGCACAGGCGTAGGCAAAACGACATTTCTTCCTATGTACTTCGTCTCTCATTGGATTTCCCTCAGTTGGAGCTCCCTTTTGATCTACAGCTCTGGCAGCATTCTTGCCAGATAGCCTCGCCACATAGACATAGTGCTGTGAGGGGACCTATCCAATGCTTGGTCCAATCATGATGTCGGCTCCCTTTCGTCGCTTTCGGTCGTACGAGAAATGATTCTTTGTGAGGCACCTATTGGCGAATGCGGCCGCAGCGAAGGAAATAAAATGTTGTTCAATAACTTCAAAATGAGCAGCTCTTCTCATTCTCCGTGGTTTCGGCTTGCCCCTTGCGTGACTCTCTAGGCCGCGGCAGGCTCCTGTAAAGAGTGTGCCCTAGAGAAAAGACAAATAATACCAGCACGTTTGCAATCTTCCGCACCGTCGGGTATTGATCCTTGATTCCCATGTAATCATCAATCTTATTGGCGGTGAATATGATCAGGAAAGTGCCAATGGCAGTTTCGGCGACTTTTCTATAAAGGCTGGGACTGCCAGGCGGGGACATGAAAGCGGGGGCTAGTTGGGTTGGTCGGTTGAAATGAATGCGTAGATGTTCAGTTGGAAAAATACGACAGAGAAGGAAATTACCAAGGAAAAAGATTAGATGTTATAGGAGCAGAAAGTCTCATAATCGAGCTGGACATAGGGGTATTTTATATCTTAAGCACTGAGTCCACTGACTATTGGACGTCATCCGGGGCTATTGCCCTAACCACATGTGCAGAGTGTAATAAAGTGATTCGATGCTAGCGGAGATGAGAGCGCACGATTTTATTCCTTTGAAATCTATGTGCTCCGTACGGAGTACCATCAACTAGCTTGCCAGTGCCACTGAAAATTCGGGGGGGCGGCGGGCTGCCGGGCGCGCTTAGGGGGTTGGGGGCTGCTAAGCCTATATAGCTTTTTTTGTATCTTGAACTCTGTACTCCAATGATGTATGTATGTATACACAGATATCTTAACAGAAATAAGCTCGACTGAGACCCAAAAACTGTATATCCCAGCACTGAGCGGCCCTGTGACTGAACAGCGTCATTGGGCCATATCCCGAGGTCAAACGAAACCTCGTAATAAGCCTCGGGCCCAATCTACATTTATCGTACTTAAATTCGTGAAGATTGTATGAAAGGTTCCTAATGCAGCTTGGAAAAGTCGTGAGTCACTATGCGTAATATGCTTGTGCCAAGGGTCCGTGGGCTTGGCATGATCACTCCGTGGATCTGCAAATGCCAGATGCGGGCCATCCCTAACAATCGTACATGACTCTTCATGACTCAACCAATTCAATGTTGGTATATAGAACTACTCCATACACTCTAAGGATCAATTAACAGCTCAAAGCAAACTATCCTCTAATTTCATAGAATATATCACACTCCACCACTCCTTCAACTCCAACTCATCAAAATTCTGGGCACCGTGACACCCACTCAACTTCAACCATGTCACCACCCACTACGACCTCAATGACCTTCTACGACATCGCCCTCGCACCCCCTCCCGAAAAAAACGCCTGCTCCCCAAATCCCTGGAAAATCCGATTCGCCCTGAACTTCAAGAACACCCCCTACAAAACAACCTGGGTACCCCTACTAGATATTAGCTCCGTCCGGGGCGCTCTCAACATCCCCGCCTCACGCACATTCGCCGACGGATCCCCCTACCACACCCTCCCCGTTCTCTCAGACCCAGCCACTGGACGCACAGTGGGTGACTCCTTTGAAATCGCGACATACCTGCAGGAACAATACCCGTCGTCGGGCGCGGGAGACTTGTTCCCAGCGCAGCAGCTCGAGTTCGTGTTTGGGCGGGACCTGGGACTTTACGCCCCGGTTGCGGAGGCGCAGGTCGCTGAGGAGCTTGCTGCGGCGTACGTGAAGTTCAATACGAGTGTCGATTCGTTGTTTAGTGCGCATATGCGCCTGATGGTCGATGGATTCCCTTTTGATCCCGCTGTTGTGGAGGAGTGCAAGGCGAGGTTCTCGCAGAGAATAGGAGTGCCGTGGGATACTTTGACGGTCAGTGGGGAGGAGAGGGAGGAGTTGTTGAAGGCGTTTGAGGAGACCCTAGGTGGACTTGCGAAGTTGTACACAAGAAATGCGAGTGGGCCGTTCCTGATGGGGAGTAAGGCAAGTTATGCGGATTTCATCGTTGGGGGGTGGTTGCGCCTGAGTCGGGTCATGTTGCCGGGGGAGGAATGGGAAGCGTTGAAGGGGTGGCATAACGGTGTATTTGGAAGGTTACATGAGGCGCTGGAGGTGTTTGCGCAGATGGACTAGATTTGGGTAAATGGGCGAGTTAATGACGAAGAAAGACTCCCAAGGCTGATAAAGCGAATCGCCTCAGGGCTCCACCCGTGGACCCGTCCATGGGTGGGCGGCTCAGGAGGTTCGACCACCAAAAATAGCCCCACCAGAGGGGTCCTCCAGGGCTCGGACCTCTTCCAAGGTTGTTTGTTAATCGAACAGTAATAGCAGAAAGTATGTAGTCTTCCATATTTCCCCTTGTCAATATACCCCTCGTCTTTCCTCAAATTTTAGCTCACTCATTCTTTCCGCCTGGCTTTTTTCGCTCTCTCTTCATACTCAAACCACGCTTAATGTCCCGAAAGCCGTACCCCACCCCATTAGTCGTCCCGCCACTGAGTGAAGAGCATACACATACCATCATTTCGCTTCATGGAAGAGGCAGTAATGCTGAGCGCTTCGGCAATGAGCTCCTTGCGTCGACAGACCTACAAGGTCGACTTCCTACAGTGAAATTTGTCTTTCCCACTGCGCGCAAGCGGCGGTCGACTATACTTAAGAAGATCCCAATTCATCAGTGGTACGACAACTACTCCCTCGAAGATCCTGGACAAAGGACAGACCTTCAGGTGGAGGGGCTCTGCCAGACTGCTGAATTTATTCGCGGCTTAGTCACCGAAGAGGTACGGATTTTAGGAGAGGAGAATCATTCAAAAATCATCCTATGGGGGCTGAGCCAAGGCTGTGCCGCGGGTATCTTCACGCTTTTAGGTGGCTGGGCGGACGCCAGTGAAGCATATCCACTCGGGGCATTTATTGGGATGAGTGGATGGCTGCCATTTGAACAGCAACTACGCGAGATTCTCCGATCCGACGAAGGCCTAGTCTCAGCTAGAGAAAATCAGCATGAAATGCAATCGGGAGACGACTCGTGCGAGGAAAGTGAAAGTGACCAAGAGTCGGAAGCAGATGCATATTCCCAACAAGGCTCCGACGACAATCTATTAGAGGAAAGCGACCCACCACGCGATGACTTCAACCCCTTTAAGGAGATCGAGGAAGACAGCACACCGCGTGATGATTTCAATCCATTCGAGGAGGACGAGGAAGAAGCTCCGTTAGTCGTTCAGGCTATCAATCACATTCGTGATATCCTTACTCTGCCTATGATTCCAAGCAACACGCAGCTATCGGAAGATAGCTATCCACCGAGTCTATCTCACCTCCACACTCCGGTCTTTCTTGGCCATGGCTTAGAAGATCCGAAAGTCTCTGCGGGTCTTGGTAAAAAGATGTATCGTATGCTGTCAGATGGTCTAGGCATGGATGTGGCATGGAAGGAATATCATGGATTAGGGCATTGGTACCGTGTTGAAGACGAGATTGAAGATATTTTGAGCTTCCTTCAGGATCGTGTCGACCTACCAGTAATATCAGGGTCGTCCCTAGAGAAAGGGAAGGGGCAGGAGAAGCAACTATGAGTGCTTCTTTGAATTGTCACTCAGATAACCTAACTTCCCTGTCACCACACCAAGGGACGACCATTGGGATAGATAGGATGTTATCACACTTATCTGAACGCATGGTTAAATATTTTCAAAAGCACCTCGGTGGCCAGAGAAGCCTTTTGATTCTTATATTCTAGAATCTCGACTTCATCTTTGCAAGAGTATCCACATTGTTTTGAGCCTCATGAGCTGGGCATTTAACTGAGAGCCAATCATGCTCCGCCAATAATTCGTGGAGCGGCCCGGGAGACAACCTTGGAAGTCATAGAGTTATGAGTCACCTTTCGACTAGTCCACGGGTCCACCTGATTCTTTCGGGTGAAAAGGGTATATGGACCTAACCGACAATGGACCCCGACCGTGGACGGATACTCTCGGTACGCAAGGAGTTCAAGGCCTAGAAGAAACTGTAGGTATGACTCTCCTAGTAGAATGGCGAAAAGGGAAGGTACTGAATCCTGCAGAACCAATAGTAAACAACTATCTCATTATCTGGCACTGAATCATCTATTAGTACTCGGCTTTGTGTTGCTTTTAGGGTTAAATATAATTGATGATACTGTATTTTTAGCGCTGTGATGCGGAGAGGACGTCTACGGGTGACTCACAGGTATACATATTCCTCGAGTAGATTAAATGTATGGATGTAACCATATTTGTTAAAATGACTGTTTGCTCAGCCTCATTAGCTGAGTTTAGACCTCCTTTGTCGCGTATAAAGGCCAGGTTTGTGCACGTCACAAATACAAGCCCAACCCTGACTTCTCCTAAAAGTTTCAACTTGGAAATTTCCAACCAGCCGTCCTACTAGCCATGGAGCGAGTAAGGAAAGTCGTCTTCGACCCGCTTGCAGCATCAAAGGCTCAGGTGCGAGAGATCCTAGAGGAACTTCCAGTTGGCTCTGCACACCCTTTCAGTCCTGAGCGACTTCTTCTTTGTCGGACAAATAGCGGCATTGACGAGATTGATATCTCCTCCTATCCAGATGACTTTTTCTTTAATGCTGTGGACATGGGCGAGATGAGTGATATCCTTCTGAGGCGCATGGCTGGCTTCGAGTCTGATCTAGGTATGTCTTCTCTCATTCGACTTGGAGGAGATTTCGATCAAAGGATGAACCCTAATCATTAACAGAGATCTTCAATGACTTCCAAATCCTGCAAGCACCAGCCTCAACCTTCAGGATCCCGATAGTGTCCGACCAAATCACGATCTTGGCAGTCTCTGAAAGAAAGCCCACTTACTACGATTTCTGCTTCGCGGATGCTTCATACAACGCGTGTTGCTGGATGGCAAGAAATACCTTCCCAGGAATTAGTCACAGCGGCGATGTCACCGATGGACATGATCTCCTACATTTTGTCAAGATCAACAAGGAGACACTCACGGAGAAAGAAATCTGCGTGTTTATATCTGGCTTCCAGTTGACCCCCATAACAAAGTTCTTAGGAACCCACCCTGCTTTGCTCGTCGCCGATCATATGGACAAGGTATGTCTTCAGATTAATCTTACTTTGGGCATTGGTTAAATCGTTGGCAGGTCCTTTATATCGTGCCAGTACCCTTGGATGCAGCGACAATCGGAGACGCAACCATCTGTTGCCCACTGGTAATAAAGCGCGACGGGGACTACTTGATCTGTTCAATTTTGTCGACGGCAACAACAGACCGAGAGAAAAGCTGCTCCGCTAAAACGTTAGAAAGCGCTTCATTCCCCGAGGCGATCCATCGCGCCGATTTCACCTTATCTGCTACTTCCCCAACTGTTACAAAAGGTAAGTCTTGTCAGCACCAAGTGGGCACACCTATAGAAGCTGACATGTATATAGATGCAGCCGCAATAGGAAATTCAACCGAAGAAAATACTAGATCCAGTTGCGAAAGCCTGCGCAAGATCGCGAAAGGAAATGCCGTGTTTACCACCGATTTGGCCACTCTCCCTTCCTTCCTTGATTTAGAACAGGCACAAATCATACGTTTCGGGACTGGCATTGAATTCAAGCTACCAGATGAAGAGCTGCCAATAAAGGCTGAGCCATCTGCCGTTGTTTTGCCATGCATATTTGGTTCCCAGCTTCAAGGCCCATTTCTATTGGCAACCGGAACGGTCCCATCCAATGTTCCCTTCGTCGACGAAATTGCTATCCGGGACTATTACAAGAAACTCAAGAATGTCGTGGTTGTTGTCGATGATCGAATGACAGATAATGCCCGTAATCTTGCAACTGTCTACAGAATCAATGCAATCTTCATCGTGCAACTCAGTCCACAAACCCAGCCCAAGACTACCGAAGACATCATGTCATTGTTGAACTCAGCGAACATCAATGCGGTAACAGCACTCGCAGGACCACAATCCTTGATTCTAATCCAAATCTGCGAAAGGTATTACTTCTACCGAGGCATTGCTAATCGGGCACACATCAACACGTCCACAATGGAATTTGGCTCTGATGTGACATCAATACTCGAGTCCGTCGGTGTGGAATCCCTGCTAGATCCGAGAATTGAGCGCATCGTTACTCTCGGCGATGCAAATCCGATCATTCTACCCACTTCAGGCCAGTTGATCCAGCCTCGAGATCTTCAAAAGTTGTTCGAAGACCTTTCAACAGACCAAATCAAAGAGCTCGAAGAGGACATATCGGCAGCAGTTCCCCAGCTGCAAATACTCTTGAACGAGAAGGACCTACGAGAGCTATCGAGAGCCTTAGTATTTGCACTCTCTGCAAAGATCAGCCACGCAACAACTACATTGCGAACCGCCTACACCAAATACCTAACTCAAGAGTACAAAATGGCAGATCGCGAATCGGCCAAGAAGAAAAATGCTATGCTTGGAAGACTGAGAAAGGTCACCAGGGAGGCGCAGATTGCACTTGAGCCGCTCATTTCGAGCTTGGCCAACACAATGTCTTCTCAAACGACTTCAAAGCGGACACACGATCTGAAGAGACTTGTTCGCCAAACCCAGATTCATGCCAATGTCGAGGCCGTTAAATCCATGACTTTTGACACTCTGGCAGGATACCTTGAAACATATGCGGGAGATATGGGAGTCATGCTATTGAATATCGACACATCATCCTATTCCCAGCTTTTGAGCAATCTGAAAAGCACCACCATCGATGCCAGGTATGTTAACTAGCTATTGGAATATCCTTTCATTTTACGAAACACTCTCTCTTTATGCATGAAACCACCAACAAGGATCTACATGGCATAGTGCTAACATCTATTTTATAGTTCATGCTGCGACCTTGATTCGAGAGTTCTACATCTCGAGGGATTCGACGCAGGAATCATCATAGAGCAGTCGCAGGCCAACCACAATGGCCCACTCCAAAATCTGAACGGTCCCTCCAACCCAATTTTGGCGTTACCGTACCTGAGCCAAGAATCCGGCACTGGATCGATGTTAGCTTGGGTCTGTTGGGATGAATTTGTTAACCTCAAAAGTCCCTACACCGTGAGATGGATGGAGAAGTGCAATGAAGCGCACATTGCTGCGCTAAGAATTATTATGAGGTCTACCCTTAGTCAAGCTGTGGCGGCTCGAGAGCATAACATCCAACCTAACAGCCCAGAGACTACCCATCTTATGAGCGCTTTGCTGATGGCGGCTATGTCGAAGCTCGCGGCAATGAGGACAACGGCGCCGGTCGTGTCACAGGAGGCCGGGGATACCGTCACGAGATTGATGCGAGGGCTCTTCGGCAATCTGTTGACAATAGCAGGTTCAGGAGTGCGCCCTCAAAGCATGGTCTGGCAGCTGTTTGGTTTGGATCCTCAATATGATATTCCCAGAACCAATGTTGAGTGGATTTGGTACAAAACTGTGGTCGCTTTGTATCCTTACACGGGATGGCCTCTTGAGCAGTTCTACGAAAACCTGGAGAAACTCCTGGACAAGGTCATTGTCCGCGTGGTGACCAAGAACGAAAAGGTGGATCGGGTGAGATTAAGCCGGATAGCTGAGATGATCAGGTTTTCCAAACTTCGGAATATTCAGCTTCACCATTCTCGCACAATTATCATCGTCTTTATGCGAATGCTTACAGCGGGGGAGTCTGAAATCGCTACCATCGCAACTCGTCTGCTAGAGCAGCTTCCACAAAAGTTAGAGCGACAGAGTCCGGGCTATACTAAGATGATCCACTATCTTGAACATCTTGCCAAGGGAGGCCAACGACGTGCCCACGATGACCTCGTCGCTGCCAGCACCTACACCTCGCGCTCAGCTGCCTTTAGCGAACTCAAGAGCGAAGTGTCGGAAGCGTGTAAGAACAAAGAATGGGCCAAGATGAAGGACACCTGTCAAGCAATTATGGAAAAACATGCCGACATTGCCTCTCTCTGGCATGTCAACCCTGATGACTTGAAAGTTCAAAACATGAAGGTGTACAAAGATCTTCTGGATGCAGACTTCGGGGACGATATTGACGAGGCTACCAAGACCAAGAATCTCGAACTGGGCAGAAAAGCCCTTGGCGATGCAGAGAAACAGCGTGTTCCTTGGCAAGTTGGGAAGAAAGGGGAATTCGGCAATGGCATCGAGCCTCTGGATGAGGTCTTTCTTCACGAAATTCTGACAGGAGAAAAGCCAGAATCTCTCCCAGCCGTCGATTCAGCTGGGCAATCAGGAACAGAGAAAACTGCCATGATTGAAACCGAGGCAGGAAGTGAATTCGTGCAATTCGAATCGTCGATGGAGTCCGGCTTCATCACTACGATGCAGAAAGACCTTTCTGCCGAAAGTGTCTGCCGTATGATCAATGTTCCAACTACTGCAATGCGCGTCTTCACTAAGGCTCTTAATCCGAACTTTGTGTGGGAAGACTTGGGGAAGAACTATAAGAGCACAATTCTCGGGTTGTTGATGGATCGTTCGAATCGGATAGAGAGTCGCCCTACTAAGAAGTTGTTGGAGCTAGCGAGTGATAAGACGAAACTTCAAATTGGCGGGTGATGCATGAGGGTTGCTTCAGATAGGATTGGGGTATTATGGACAGAGGCGCGTGCTCAACTAGTTTACGAGTGAAAGGATTATCTTGATTTCGATAAGGCTCTGCATTCCTCCATAGGATCTGTTAGGGACTACAGACTGTAGGGACTAAAAAGAGAAAGGAGCGAGCTCCTAATCAACTATCTACGCGGGGAGTTTATGCCTAAGGCACCAAGGCATCTACAACGGAATTAGGAAACACGAGAGAAAAGGCAGAGAAAGGAAGGAACAGAGATTAATTCTAGAGAAGAGACCCAGTGCTAGGGCATAGCTCGTTTTATATGTTAAACGTGGCCATGTTTCTACCCAAATGGTACATAGTATAGATGTCTAGATATACTTCTAAAGTTATCAGGTACTATTCCCTAAAACCCAAACTCCAATTTATACCATCGTAATACCTAAGCTGCAAGTTCTGCCAATTTCCCAGCTATCTGCTCAACATTAGGGTCAGCCGGCCTTGCTTTAGCGGAATGAACTTCAACCTTGTTGTCCTCTGACTTGGGCTTATCTTCTCTGCCTTCCTCTTGCTCCTTGCCCTCGGATTTCTTTGCTTGTTTCGCGGTATAAGTCTTCGCAATGTCTATATGCGACAGGGTATACTCATCCGGGTCCCAAGCCAGAACCATATTTTCCATCTCTTTAAGCTTTTTCTCCACAAGTGTTTCCATCTCGTCTTTCTCCTTGTCACTTAAGAGATCAAGTCTCTCCCTCCACGCATCCTCAACATTGTCCGTCTGTCCAAAAAAGCGCTGATCAATCTTTTTCCGATATATAGAGTCAGAAGCATTGCCTCTCCTCCCGGCATATGCAATCCAAAAGTCACCACTCTCCCAGCTTTCCCGCATTGGACCAGAGAGTCGTTCTTCTTCCTTTGTGGAAGCAGCATTTTCACGATCAATCATCGCCTGCAGAAATGTCTGGAGACGGCGATCAAACACATCTGTCCAGTCATCGAGATCTTGAGGCCAGTACTCAGGTCTTTCAAGAAGAAGCCACCAAGGCGGCGCGTAGGTAAACTCAGTCGGAGCCGTGTACGAGAACTCCCAATCTACAACACCCGTAATTTTGAGGTCTTTGTTGAGAAGAACGTTGGTTGGCCGGAAATCATCGCACCACATTTTGAACGGCCCTTTATCGTATGCTATCCATCGCTGGGTGAGCTTACGCTCACGCGCTAGTTTGTGGAAGAGGTGTCTAGCGATGAACTTCCGTCGGCAGTATCTGCAAAGTCGATTGCGTCATTTCTTTGGTTTGCCAGATGGGCAATATGAATTTCCGCTGGGGCTTCGAAATACGAAAGTGCTGTGGTAAATGTTGTCTCGTAGCCTGGTAGTTTCGACTGAGGCAGGGATCCCAGTCGAATGAGTTCGTTTGAATTTATTGGCAAAGGACGACTCGCCACTTCCCACGTAAGGTCATCAACCTGACTAAGTGATCCTATTCGTGAGAAGGGTCTTTCGACGGTTGCAAAAGAACGCAAGCTAGCGCCCAATATAGAGCTTTGAGAGTATCCTCCTCGATGTTGGGGTTAAGCCTTCCCCTTTCCTGGCCTGCGCACTCTGGGAAATTGAGCAAGTCGTACACGCCGGTATGATGTTCGATATATTCCATAATAATGAAAGGTCCCATCTCCAAGGGGGAGTCTTTCTTAGGACCCCAATGGAGAACTGATGCCACTGGGATTGAACTCTTGTCACGAATGTATCGCATAATGGCAACCTCGTTTCAAACCTTTTCTTCGGGAAACATAGCCGCACCGGGTAGGGGAAAGCGTATGACGGCGGGCGCACCGGTTTTGTACGTTATCCAGAGGGAGAAACCCTTGCCTAAGACATCAATGAACAGAATCGTCTGGCCTATGGTGCTCAACGAGAAAAATTCCCACCGGTCTTGCGATATTGGGGTCAAAAAGCTGGAGAATCCAAGTATCCGCTATTTCCTCGCTTTGTTCCCAGGCAACATCATCGTAAGGCATGCGTGGTTGCATGACTGGCTTGAAAAGGAATCACAGATATGGCACGATGAAATTTGAGGAGGGGACGGAGCTTGAATAGGGGCGCGTTCAGGGACACTGTTGGGCTTGAAAAGTATAATCACATGATCTTCAATGATCCCTGTATGGGATACGTCACTTCTAGATATCTTTGTCGACCAGACTATTATTGTGATCAAACATTTTATTGACCTTCTGGGCTAGATGTGATGACATCAGACGCTGTGGTTAGCAGCGCAGAAATCTACAGAAGTACCTACATGTAGTAGTAACCAATGTAAGTCATCCTCGTACTCCCTACTCGCAGTCTCTTTTTGGTGGCAATGATCCTGTACACTGGGGTGCGATCCAGCTCCACCGGCGGGTGCCGGGCGTAGCGCGTAGATGGTAGCTCAACTGGCTCACCCTTCAACCCAAAGAGATACGCGACCCTTTCACTTGGCGCCATTACACTATATAAGTAGGAGCTTGTTTGAGGTGGTTGTAGTATTTCGATCCTGGTAGGTGTGGAGGGCAGAGAATCCTTTCTCTCCTGATTAAAATGCATGCTCATATTGGGCTACGTCATGTTGCCCAAAGATGGTTGACTTGGAAGGCCCCAGCCGGGTGTGTGCAGGTCGTGTGATAAGGAGGGGAGTCTGGAATATCGCTCGGTAGGGGTCTCTAGTTGCGCGTACGAGGAGGGGAGTCTGGAATATCGCTCGGTAGGGGTCTCTAGTTGCGCGTACGAGGAGGGCAGGAAAGCGTCCCGTCCATTGTCGTGACGGTTATCACAAATAGCCGTACGAGGAGGGAGACAAATTTCACAGGACGTGTAATATGTATCGAGTTCTTAGGAAATTGCTCCAGACCCTAACTGGACAAGCTACAAGGAGGGCCATGAATGAGAAAGATACATTCTTCCCAGATTCAGTGACACTAGGTAATTGGCGCCGGGTGCCATGGAAATTGATGGCAGACAGAAGAGATATCTCAAGAAAAGAAAGTGTAAAGTAATTTCGGCTTCGCGTTCGACGCTTTTTACTACATGAGGAATTTTTAACACATTCTAGCACGTTCTGAGGCGAAATCTATCTACTTTTGAACAGTGCTCAGTTCATCCTACGGTGTATAGTCACAATAACCTTGGAAGATATTTCGGCGACTAAATTCAAAAACAAAATGAGACAAATATAACCAAGAAGAAACAAGAGATGTCGAACTTTGAAATGACCAACTGCAAAGCCAATTGAGAAACAGGACAAAAAATCAGAAAGACGAAAACAAAACAAAAAGCGAGACAAAATCAGACAACATTGCAACTGACAGTTCTCGAGCTTCCTTACGTGCCCATCATCAACTCTAGCTCAGTTGCATGATATTCCGTATAGGGAGACTTCTATCGACCAGTTTCTGCTTCCCACATCCAACATCAAAGCTTGAGGTGTTCAAGACCATTGTTCGGCCATTTTCTCGGCCCAACGGGCGTGCTTGCCAGCCAGGAAGGTCGCCTTGTCTCGAAACCCCTTTGTTCTGTTTCTGCTTTTGGTAACCTCCTTTTGGTGCGTGGCAGTGGCATCTAAATTTTCGTACGATTGAGGATACTTGTGGGCAAAGCCATCACGAGCTTGAACAGCCCTATACATGCAATTAGCTTTCGACGAGCATCTTCGTCCTTCAGGTCAATAGAAATATTAGCTATTCAAATGAACAGCCCATGCGTCACTAGCAGAGATTCCAGCTTTGATTGTTGTGCCTTGATCTGGATGCGGCTTATGTTTGCGGCCAACTCCCACGTGATATGCAAGACGAATAGCTTCGGTGTCCTCATCCTCGTTGCGGTCACTAAGAGCATGATAACTTTTCCACTCGGCGTCCATCTGCTTTGACCACTTTTGGGGTATCTTTTTAAAAGGGTCGGAGTATTCGTGATGCTGTCTGGGTTGGTGGAACGAATTGGCACGGTCACGGAGATCTGGATGGCCCTGGGGGATCTTTTCGCCGTCTGCCCTTCGGTCATATATCTGCTCTTGCATTGGTCCCTTCTGGAAGTGTGGACCATATTTGCTCTGCTGATGCTGAACATACTGGCGTGCCTGTGGCTGTTGATCGTATGGTGGTGTTTCGTATGTAGGCTCGGAACGCTGCCTTCGAGGTCTCGAGCCGGAACTTCCACTGAAAAAGCTCATAATTGGTAATGTTTTGAGTAAAAGTCTGTTTGTCAAATGAAGGATATTGGGCAAGCATGAGAGTGATACGTTTCTTCTGAAGTATAATATAGGGTTATATAGACTCGGCAGACTCCTAAGTCATACCCCTTGCTAGGAGTCCGGCCAACTTGAAATAGCCCAAAACATTTAAGTTCCAGATCATGATTTACACGCTCAGGTTTGAGCAAGTGACGGTAGCAATTGGGACATTTTTGAACTTGCGGGATTGTTGTTGTTTCGCTCTTGCATTAGCCCTACAATGTGACAGGCATGTATGCAAAAGGACAGGGATGATACCTAGAAACAACCTCAAGATAAGCGCTAGGGTAATACAGTAGAAGCTCCGTTTAATAGGAAATGAGCACTGTAAATAGATTAAATCTGGGCTTGCACGAATCAAAGGCACAATTGAGATTGGTGACTGGCGGTAAGACAGTAGTTGCATACGTAGTGGCTTCAACCAAAATACATGCCACTGCCCTAATTAGATTGATTGGCCCAGAGTGATTTTTACTATAGCTAATTAAATGATCGGATGAAACACACTTGATTCTTAGTCGCGCGGCTTCGTTAGGGCTAAAAATACATCAGCCGCTTTCCTTACTTTGCGGGGAACAACCCTATGTAAGACGCCACCACCTCGAGGGCTCCGTGGACCTATGCGTGTACTTATCAGTCTCCTCGTTTGTCTACTTCCTCAAACTTTTCATAGCCTCTTAAACATGGTAAGATGCAAGCAAGCTACGCTTTGAAAAGAAATATTATGCTCACCCCTTTTCAAGGCCAAGCCGACATTAGAAGGTCTCCCAACGGAGCTGCTCATTCTTATCTTGCTTGAAATACCCGATCTGGTTTCTCTCAAGTCTATCGTGCTTTCATCGCCAATATTTCACCAAGCCTACCTTACCGTGCGACTGGAAGCTCTCTCTGGCATTGTCAAGGATCAATGGGGAGTGCTTCTGGGAGATGCAATTGCTGCTACACGGTCTCGTGGTCTCCAGTTCGCCAATCACAAACAGGAAGCAATTGCCATATTAGACACCTGGCGTCGCAAAGAAGAGATCAGGGATCTTGCGTTAGGCTCATCCATTCCGATAGATGAGCTCAACAACCTTGAAGAGATTTTCAACCTATTTTACCTTCACAAGGTGTTCCATTTCTTTTTGCAAGAGTACGACATGAAAGCACCGCGGCCCCCGTGGATATCAAATGATCAATGGGAGCACTCAATTCTCCCCATGAATTTGTCTGACACCGAAAAGCACCGATTTATCAGAGCTCTATGTCGACTACAAATTTACGCCAATGTCTTTAGTGAGTATGAGCATACGACTATGACTGCCGAGAACAAATGGAATAGTTGGGGGGGTTGTGGCAAAAATGGCTCTCATCATCTTTATAAAGAGGGATATCGTTTGTTCTTTGGAGCGATGCCTCCTTGGGAATTCCAAGAAATAGGCTGTCTATGGGCATTCTTTACGACAATGTTCGACCATATTTACAAGGAAATTTCTGTGGGTCTACACGACCTCGTGGAGAAGCATATGACCACAGATCCCGAATATGCATGGCAACGTCCATATTTCGAACTTCTCCCTGATGATATAATGCCCCCTTGGTGGAATGGGGTAGACAGACTCTCAAATGTCGAGCTCATTTGGAAATTTTCAAATTCGTTAGCTTTGCTGGGACCAGACTTTGTCTACCGCCTTCTTCATGGAACACCCTTGATTCAGCGCGATATGGTGATGCTCAATGGAAACGAAGACCTACTCCGCATATTCCCTGACATGTATTTGCAGGAAGAGTGGATGGTGCCTTTTATTTATCCCGCAGATCGACACGCAGTCCAAGATTATGAGCAGCTTTGGTCGACATTGCCATCCATAGAGCAACCTAATCTTGGGTGGAAACAGGTTCATGTGATGCCTGAAACACCCGAACAGACATTTGAAGAAGCGATTGATGTCGAATGTCCACGTAAAAGTGTATGGCGATGGGGTTACGCTATATTTGATGATGAAAGATTGACGGCATGGAAAGCGCCTTTGATGGAATTTCGTTTGGGCAACGAGCCCGAATTTGCAGTTTGATTCATTTAGCTGCCTGTATTTCATTCTTCCAATAAACCTCACATGTCTGTGGCTTTTTCTCCCTCGCCTTTTCAACTACTTGTTCGGGGTTTCTTCTAGTATGTACTTGTTGAGCAGGACTAGATGCTATTGACTGGGGGTGGTTGGTGTGAAAATTGATAGTTCACCTACCTCGCCTGAAACGTGTCAAAGGTGGCAGGGCCATCTAACCCATCATCCCTTTGTCCCAAGGTTATATTTGAATGTATCTTTAGTGTAGACCTTAGCTTCAAGGTTGCCAAGCCACTCTCTAAGGAAATGCAATCGTACAAGGTTGAACAGGTATTTTATCGTACTTTAAACCAGGATACTAGTAGCGTCCAAGGGCTCCGTTGTTTAGCTGTAGGATTCCTTTGTTCGTGCCTGCTTATCCTTACGGAGTGCTTCTCTACCTTTCTTTATCTCTCTCTTTCTCTCTCGATGAATTGATCACTGTACGTGCTTTTTATAATTCCCATGAATGTCTCTAAGGCTCTTGGCCAGCTGGATCCTCAAAGTCCCAGCTATCGAAATCCCTGATCAGTTTGACGAAGATGATGTTCCGGCGTGAGACAACGATTCCAATTCCCGAGGTCTTTTCATACAACAATACATGCAAAAACAAGCTCAAAGTTCCCTTCATTCTCATGGAGTTCATCGACGCGCGGCCTTTGGATGAAGTTCGGCATGACCGGGAATTTCCGAAAGAAGTTGTACAGGCTCGGCGCACGCGCTGTCTGCAGGATATTGCTGCGGCGTATATCCAGCTTGGAAAATACACATTCAAGGAACCTACGCCCTTGAGATTAGACGACCAAGATTGCCTTATCGGTGTTGTACCAGTGAACAACGACCCATTCTCGGGCCTCAGGGAGGCTTGCACTTCGCATCTGGACGGGTGGGGCCAAGAGGAGTCTGAGTACCAAGATGGGTTGTTGAAGCTTATTCGGATATTCGTCGACTGGAATCAAATGATGGAAAATCATTCATTTTATCTCGTCCAAACCTCAATATCTTCAACTTCCTTGTTTCAGAGGATGGTTCTGTGCGGGCAATCCTCGATTGGCACGGCGCGGAAGCCGATCGGCCGAGTGTTGGGAATGAGGCGTATCCACTATGGCTGATGCGCGACTGGGATCCATCCCGTCCGTATACCGTTGGAGCGAAGAGATGGAACGGGGAATCCGAAGAGATGGAACGGGGAATCCATGACGAGGATTGTGTTTTGGAAGACTCACCGGACACGCTGGGGTTCTATCGAAATGTCTACGCGCAATGTATCACGAATTTATGACCAGAAAGCGAGAATTCTAAACCGACCCGCAATTCCCTTCTCTTTTGACATTTGATGATGGCAGTGGGAGACCCGACGTTTAGCTTAGGCATTACGGGAAAGATCCTTGGCGAGGTTATGAAGCGAGTGGAGAAGCATGTAAATGATAACAGCTGTCCTGCCTCATTGAACCCACCCCACGACAATAAAACTGACAACAAAAACGATGGTTCTGCCAAAGAGGATGCGGCAGGCGATCACAATTCACCGAAACGAGACCGAGGACCAAGCGGAACCTGGTGGTATCGAAGCGGATATTGATGGAGAAGATGAATGTTTTAGCATTTGTGAGTTTGTCAAGGCTTTGGACAGAGATGGTCTGTGTGAGCATCAAGAAAAGCTTTTTAAGGCCGGATTTCACGCTCTATTTATTAGTTAACTTCGGGACTGTGTTGTTCGATGCATGTAGTAATGTACGATGACTTCAAAGACTGAAGTTGTCAGGCATCATTATTGAAATTGAAGAAGAAACAAGGACAGGTATTTGAAAATCATAGAAAAACAAAGCTTTTTATCCTTTTGATCCCAGATACTCTTTTATGTTCTCTAGGAGCACCACAAAACGATATACCTTGTCGAAAAATATAAGAGACACCTCAGGCAGCAACCATCTTAGATGATGTCAGCTATATTATATAATTGAAGATATCAGCCAATGACAACATCCAGACTAACCGATCAAGGGCTTAGGGCTCACCTCAGTCACGCCCCACTGCCTTTTCGCACTTGAGCGGCTTCTGGACGTCGCCCTCTTCCTTTGAACATCCACCTCATCCGACAAAATGGTGAGTTTCCCAGCGTCCCAATATACAATCCAGAAGACACCAATACTAATCGAAATGTGACGAACAGGCGCCCGCAGCAACCGGAGGCAAGAAGCAAAAGAAGAAGTGGTCCAAGGGCAAGGGTACGCAATCACCAACCATGCGATCGTGACGATTTCCGCCGAGTTCTCCCACAAGACACGAAAGAAATCGTTGGGCGAGCTGGGGATACGCAATAGCCGATAAGCAACATTTACTGACATGTCTTCCGCCCTACAGTCAAGGACAAGGCCCAGCACGCCGTCGTTCTCGACAAGGCCACCAACGACAAGCTCCAGAAGGATGTCCAGTCCTACCGTCTGATCACTGTCGCCACCCTTGTCGATCGTCTCAAGATCAACGGCAGCCTTGCCCGCCAGGCTCTGAACGACCTTGAGGCTAACGGCCAGATCAAGAAGGTCGTCGGTCACTCCAGCCTGAGCATCTACAGTGCGTTCCTCTTCAATACCCTCTCCACGAGACTTGAATACTGATAACCTATCTTAATAGCCCGTGCCGTCACCGCCGAGTAAACTTCTCGTCTCTCGTCTTTTCTCGCGGTTTTCTTTTCCTTGCTACGAATGATATCATTTACCATGGGAAGCCCGGCTGGGCATGATGCATAGTGGATTAACGTCTGACTCTTGAAGAGTGTGGAACATTCGCACTCCTGGTTTAACTCGGGTAGTGCGAACTGAATCAAAAAATCTACAAAACTTCATGAAAAGGACATGCATCATATTCCGTAGACTTCTCTGGGGCTCTACCACCTACCATTTTCACTATCCACACAACCCAGCGAAAAAGAAAACACAAAGTAGTCCTACGACTTTCCCGTCATCGCACTCCTCTTTGGTCGCTGCTTCTGCGCGCTTTCACAAAGCGGCCGCGGCTCTCCATGCACACCCCCATCCTCAACCACCCTCCCAGCCTCAAAATATTTTGCATGATTCCCAAAGAATCCAGTCCACCTCTTCACAGTCTCCTGAACCCGCGCTCTAGCAGCCCGTAGCTCCCTCTCGCGACGGATTTTCTTCTGAGCAGATGTCACCCTGTCATCCTCGACATCCTCAACGGGCAGGAACATAATCTCGACACCGCGCAAGTCGTTCGTAAGATCCTCCTTAAAGCAGCCTGTGACAAAAGCGCGCGTTGCGTCCCGTCCCGCGAAGAAGTTGTAGCTCCCGCCCGGTCCGTAGATCATACGGTTTGCCGACACATCGAAGATTGTCCCGTTCACCGCGACGTAGAGGGGAAGGTTGGTGTCTGTGCCATTGTAGAGGGATAGTTGGCTTGGTGTCAGGGTAACAGGGCCTTGCTTTATTTTTGAAATGTACGTGTTAGCTTGGATTGTGACGTGACTTTGCTCTTTGTAGACTCGAGCGCCGGATTTGCATACCACCCACTGCTTCACCACAGGCCACCGTGTATACCATGGTCTGTACCCCCACAGAACGGACTCGGAGGAAGTCATATAATAGGAGAGACCGCCGCAAGCTATAAGTATGGTAGCAACCACGCGGATTATGTCCAGCAGGCTTATGCCGTGGTCTTGGTCGGTTTCATCGTCGCTGGAGTGCTCTCTGGGATTTGACTCTTTGTCGGGCCCATTGCTGGACTTTGACGTGGTTGTTGGTCGCTGGCGGAGTTCTGACATCTCTCCCGAATTTGAGACAATTGAGGAGTTGTAAGATCAGACGATGACCATTTGGATTGTTGTCATTGGAGTTGCACACCTGGGCAGGAGGAGGACTTGGCTGACAAAACCCGAGGCCTGGGCCCCGACTGGACTGTGACTTATCCACACTTCACCTTTACAAGAGGACCTAGTCTGGATTTCTATTCAATTTCTTTTATTTCTCCAAGCTGCATTCGTCGCTAAAGATACAAGAGGCTTGGATTCACAACGTAGCCGGGAAATACACCCTGCTTTTTGGTTCTAACGTTATATTTGCCTCGATTTGATTTCTATCACTTGCTTGCAGTTGCAGATTGCCCTTCCTGGGCCGCAGACCCTTCTTCCCAGCTGCGCGAGAAAACTTCGTTCAGGGCGTCTTGGAAAGTACGGCAGTTCATGTCAATCAGACCTCGCTTGTCCTTGGCTTCGGGGTTGCGAATCACCGAAACTAGACAGAGGTACCTGTTGGAATAAAGTCAGTATAGACAATAAAAGCACTCCCGCTGAGAGACATACTTGTTCATCTCCATCAAATGGATCATGGTCTGATCATGCAATACCACGTGGCTTTCAGCTTCTTGGATCTGGTCGCCTAATCGCTTGCGAACTGGGTGGTCCCAAGAGTACAACTCGGAGATATCGACAATCACATCGATATAATCAGAGCACATCTCGTAGCAAGCCATGTCAACTGGTCGCGTGTCGGAGGCGATATAAATTTTACTCAGAACATCGAAGAGATATGTCTTTTCAAACCCACAGTTGTTGGCGAGCGTGTTGATGAGGTTCTCGAGTGTAGATAAGTTTGGGATCAGCTTCTGAATCACTTTACTGAAGGCTTCAAAGACAGAGTAATCGTAGATTGAAGTCAGATAGTAGTGCACGGGCGCATTCTCATACCCAGCGTCACTCAGCTCGTCGGAGATGCGCTGCACGATGTCCTGGAACGTGTCGGTGCGGTACTCGTCTGACAGTCCATCAACTTTATGAATGAAGACTTCGATGTTGATTCCAGGATAGAACTGCTGGACAGTCAATATGGTGCGGTTGAGCCGCGCCACCGAGTCCAGGTAATCATCCTGTGCGTCGATCACCCAAACCAGGGCACCCAGACTGCCGAATATATCCTCAAGGTCGAAGGCGGACTCAAAGTACTCCAGCTGACCCGGGAAATCCCAGACTTGGAAGTCCATGAAAGAGCTGCAGCAGGCTCCAGGTCAGCGGAAAGCGCATTAAGCATGTCCTTTCTTCGGAACTTACTGGATCGAGTCCTTCTGAATCCGGGTCGTGGACTCCAAAAAGAGTGTCTCATTTGGCGGCATCTTATGGAATACCACACTAGCAATGGACGACTTACCACTCCTAGTACACAGTTAACATCTCTGTTGTGCGAGGAGCTGGCAGACAAAACTTGCCGGCGGAGTCCCATTAGAAGAAGACGAGGTTTAACATCAGGGCCTTTGGTGTTTGGCACAGAGGCCGATTTGGCTTGTGTTGGCGCAGTCACTTGGCTTTTTCCCTGTAAATTATCCAGAAGGCTTAGCTCGGCTTCAGTCTTATGGAATGGAATTTCACGCCGTCGCTTCCAAAAATTGAACTCACGTCCTATAAAAGGACCATGAGGCCGGCTCACGGGGGCTACCGGTGAGTCGGACATTTAATCAAACAAAACGGGCATGCATTTTGGGAGAATTGGTGAATCAATAGACAGCTTAGGGTTATTAGGATGGAAGATTCATGAGCTCGGGGCCAGGTGGAATAAATCAACGCATCACATGTCGGGGAAAAAAGAGGACGTTGGGCAGTCAGCGAACCCAACCAGGCTAATATCCCTTAGAATAATAAGGAAAGGCCCGAGGCTGAAGGCGGAGACCTGTGGATTCAAGATGGCACTATCTTGCAACGGCCCGTTGTGACAGCAACCGTGACAGACGCCCCAAAATTGGAAACCCATGTCCATTGTCTATTCCAGAGCGCATTTGGCTCCCAAGAAAGGTCTGTGGTGTTTCTCCATCCCCTGAGAAATAGCAAAAAGGGTCCGGAACCAAGCAGATGTCTCACAACGGCCCGTGCATGGATGCAGCGGGACGCGGTAACTAACCGAGCTTCACCGAATGACCCAGCCGTGATTCAAGGTATTATAAGGAGTATGGTTCGAGGGGATGTGCTTTGAGGGAAAAGGGTTTCTTACCTCCATTGAACGGGCAGACATCTAGACATAGGGTGTTAGAATCCGGGGTATGCATTGAGAATGGGTGGTTGTACTTAGTACGCAATTTAATTTGTATTAGACAGGGATAATCAGACCAATGCGAAGTCAAGATTCTTCTTTGATCACGAAGAAAATAGCAAAAGGAACTGGTCGAGCTCAATTTAACGGCAGAGACCGACTGTTGACATCTGCATGTGCTAATCTCGCCTAGGACGAAAGCCGGAGGGATCCCAGATTTTGTCTGGGATGGTGTTACAGGGTCGGATATCTACAGTCAGACCTGTATCATTGTCTCAAGGTTGAGAAATTCAATTCGCAGCGGAAGTGGGTTGGCTGGGGTGATCGTTGGGTAACCGTTGTGCCGTTCGAGGAGTGCGGGGGTTGGAGTAGCTCGGAGCTACGAAGCGAGGCGAAGGGCGATCGGGTACCGATATCCAATGCACACTATAGGGCGGCAAGTGAGCTAAAAGAGTTGGTCTCAAAAGATGTAGGGCTGTGCTTGATTTGAAGGGGTATTCAAGAAATTGTAGTAAGGAGGAGAGGATGGGGGAAGAGGAAGAGCAGAAGCAAGGCGGAGCCGTTATCTTCGAGCTCCTATCTTATCGGTTCTAATCTGTCAGAGACCGCCTTTCATATTCTGCCATTATATTAGCGCCTATTCCCGGGCCATCAACCTGCATTTCACACGTTTAACCCCATTTATGAGCTTGGCCAAGTTGGCCTCCTGGACTCCTTCGGAAATGAGTCTTATGCTTAAGTACATTGATAGAATTGGAAAAACTAGAAGGCTTTTTTGGTCATTATCCTCAACAAGTTCATACAGCAATCACCCGGTGGCTGTGGCTGTGTCCATGAGCATGTTTAGTCCCATGCTGATGACCCAGATAATCGCTAATTCGATGCTTCCCCTGCTCCTGAATCTCTCCCTCCTCTTCCTCTTCCTCGGCCTCAATTGCAGGCCACTCTTCCCAACCATCTTCCCACATCTTTGCTAACTTTTCAGTCTTCTCCTCTCTGTTCATTTTCTTGTTGTTCATCACTTTCTCCCACTTCTTCATATCCTTATCATCTAAGAGGCACTCATCCAGCAAAGCACTGATCTTGACACTGTCAATACCTTCCCCGATAAACACTATTTCCTGGCGACGATCACCCCAGGGACCTTTGAAATCATTCTGGATGGATTCTCGCACATCCTTGTCTTCTGGCCAGTTCTCATCGGGGACTTCAGCAAACCAAGGTCCACCGCATCCAAAAGTCATCATACTACCTGCTTGGCTCCATTCTCCAAATTGCCAGGGCCTGGTCGTGAGCCAGAAGAAGCCCTTGGAGCGGAGAACTGGACCGAAAGCCGGGTGGGTACGTTTGTTCTTCAGAATGACTGCTGGGTCAGGCTGCTCAAAGTCTTCCACTGACTCGG